CATCAAGACCCTGAGGGAGAAACTGCTGCTGCTGGTAAGTCAGATGGCCTTCGACACCACCATTTTTTACAGTAGTTTCATAGTAGTTAACAAATATCACAGTTACTGAATAATCAGTCTTGAAATTGGTGGCTTAATAAGTCTATAATTCAAGAGGTTAAATGAATACTTCTTGCAAACATGGTAACATGACTAATGATAAACGGAAGATAGTGTGGATAGAGAGAACAGTGTGATTTACCTATGCTAACTGGGCTACTAGTTTACTTTATACAACAGTTAGTTCCAGTAGCACAGTCTGAATGGTTGACAAGCGTTGCATTTGTGATGATAGCACATTTCTTTTTATTAAAATTGTGTCGTTCCACTTATTACCGGTTTGTACATTAGCACATATGAAAACAGAAAATGAACACAATAGATCATTTCCATAAGATAATATTTTACCTGTTGTAGCCCATTTGGTCAGGTTTTGAAGAAGAGTGTGACAGCAGGCCTGCATCTAAATTCTAAAGCTGTTGTTGCCCAAGTAATCTTTTTGTCAGCAGCTGTGATGGCAGAACAACTAAACAAACTGCAGTTACCCAGAAATTAGCAGAACACATTTATGCAAACAAGATAGGCTGTGAAATGCATTTTAGACAGACTGGCTGGAAGAAAACCACAATCAGTTTAATCTGGCAAATATTGAAAAACTGAGCTGAAACTGATATTAAAACTATTTTATGGCTCTGGAATGCAAAAGGCTACTACTTTGTTGGCTGAAGAAATTGCCAAATGAAAGCACATTTGATACAGTGTTCAGGGCTTTATTGATTTACGTTTTTTTTATTTTGCAGAACTGTTGTATTAAATCAATAGAACACTTAAAGCTGTATGATGTCATGGTCACTTGACTGTGACTGAATCACAGTTATGATGTTTTTGTGATAACACCCTCCCACCTTGTGTTGTATTGCATAAATATTATGCAATTGCCTAAAATAGCATTTGGGGAAGGAAATGGTATTTATGAATTAATGATATTTTTGGACCTGTCTTCTGGTACTTAAGGCACTTTATGGTTTTTGTTCTAATTCAGATGCAAATCGTTGCTGTGAGAACAAAACCTTGTATCTCCATTTTTGTTGTTTGTTTACATAATTTAAAAATTCCTGCTGCCATTTATATTGTGTCAAAAATTACTTATGAATGAACCAACAGAAATGGTCTGACATGACATACAACAAAATCTTTTTATATAAACTTTTTCTTCTGTAGTTCCTTTTTGGGTGATACAAGATTTTGTTCTGAGAGCAATGATACACTTGCCTAAGTCAAATAATGAAGGGCTATAGAGCGGGGACAAACAGTTCTAGTCCTGGGGTGCCAAAGTCCAGCATAATTGGTGATTCTCCTGCACAAGCACATCTACTAAACCTGAGAAATCTCCAAACTGCCCAGGACTCGCTACAGTACTGAGGTTAAACGCCTCTTCTGCAGAGCCCCAGTTGTGTTGTAAGTGTAAGTGCTATGAGTTATGAGCAGAAACCGTGGGACAGACGCACCTGGACAGAAAATCTTAGCAACAGTCCTAATATTTTTATGCACTGGTTGTTTTCTCTATCCTCTCCTGTCCTCAGGGGCGTGAGAAGTCGTCCCCAGATCACCGTCGTTACTCCATGATGGAGCCCTCGGCCACTGACACTGAAGTTACGCGCCTCCGGCAGCGGCTGCTGAGCACTGAGGAGGCCCTGAGGACCGCACTGGAACACAACCAGCAGGTGGACCAGCTGGTACAGGCAATGCGCATGCGCCCAGATAAGAGCCAGGTAAAGCCCTATACACCTCAGTAAACTGGATCCTCCATCTGCTCTTAGATAGGCTTTAACCCTTAGAAGTCTGAGGTTTTTAATTAATTTACATAATGAATTACATTTACATTCAATTGACATTCTGTTTTACAAGTTCAAGTGAGCACAGTATTTTTGATTTTGTTAACTTAATTAAATTAATATTAAATTAATTATTGTCAGAACTACAAGTTCTAAATGTTAATTATAAAAATAAACATGTGAACAGTACTGTGCTCAGATCCACACTGATGAGTTGTTTTAAATAATATAACGTCAGATTTTGTCATTAAAGAGTTGATGCTATTGCTGTAAGTGTATCAGCGTAGAGTATAATGAAAGACTTTACCACCCACATTTGTTTTACCCACTTAAGGTTTAGATCTTACATCATCAGACGGAGTCTGTATTTAACTGCATTCATTTGCTTTTGGCCTGCAGGCACACAGCGGCGCAAATTCTGCGAATGGAATCCATCAACAAGACGCTACCTTCACAGAAGAGGTTGATACTAATACTGAATAAAACTATTTATCCTGTGTCTATTTATTCCATTGCTAAGTGGGCGTCTGTCATTTAACATTCTCTCTTCAGTGTGTCAAGGGTCTATATGTGAGCCCACATGTCAATTCCTCACTCTCATAACTACATATTTAATTGTAGTTAATAAATAAAATGTAGTGGTTTCTGAATAAATGTAAAGATTCATAACTGAATAATAGGCCTACAGTATGAAGGGTTAAGGTGCCTTTATGTCCTTCTGTCATCTTCCTTTAGGAACAGCACTGATGATGGGGAAGGCCGAGGCAATGCTTTGATCATTTAAGGAAAACGGAGGTACGCTGCAAAAAGGAGAGGCCAGTTTGATGCTCAGACCTCGGACTAACGCCTCACTGGACATCATTGCTTTCTTTTCACAGTTAACACCAAAACAAGTGACTCGATCTTGGTTAAAAAACAAAAAACAAACAAATCAAACAGAATGGAAACAGCTTAGCAAGGTATATGTACAATGATGCGAGATGTTATTTAAAACAAATGAAGAGATATGACTGAAGCGGTACATTACGATTATGGTTGTAGACTCAGACCACTGACCCACCCTGTAGACTACCTCCCACATGGACAATGACATCTGACCCGGGACAAGTGAGAAAGCATTGGTCTCGAGTCAAGTTAAAATTGGGCAGGAAGGGGTGAGACGATCGGTTGAATGTAACTGATCACAGTAAAACATTGGCCTCGATTTATACTTGTTTAATTTATTTGCCTTCTATGCTATTGGGAACTAGACTGACCAATCCGTGATTTCTGCCTTCAGAGCCTTGGCCTTGATGCTTTTCCCTTAAGACTCCGACTAAAGGAGAAAGGATGTTGGATCCCACTGGGGCTTATTTTTACGTTATTCCTTTTTACCTACTGTCTGTATGTCACAGTATTCAGCCACCTACCAGTATGTCATCCTCGATAAGCCAGTGAAGGTGCACCATAACGTTCGGGATGCCAAAATGAATGGAATCTCACCACATTACTGAAACTGTCTTGATAAATACCATAGAGCTCATATAGATAATACAAACGTCAAAGCAGAATTTGATCTCCAGTAGTAGCGTGTTATTATTGCTGTATATTCATGTACCAACATACAGTATACTGCAACTGTTCACTGCCCAGGTGTGACGTCAATTTAGGTTTCAAACTTCCATCATCTAATTCAACAACAACAGCGACAAAATCTCTAAAAAGTCTTGATCCACATTTCTGATTACGTCACGTACAGACAAGACACATCAAACCCTACGAAACCCTGTCGTCTTCCGAATGTTAGCTCAATTTGGAAAAAGCAGATTGAATCCATAGATGTACCCTGTTACAATTAGCTCAATTGTGGTCTCAAACTTTCTATCAGTGTGGAAACTGTTAAAAAACTGAGGAATTTCTTATCAGCGAGAACAAGTACAAAATAAAAGATAGGGCTGGCCCCAAGTTTTGCAAATGAAGCTTCAAGTTGTTGTTGGACTCAGATGGTCTTTTATCCGTTAGAAAGCGGTTTACTTTCTTGACTTTAGCTGTAACGGTTCCTGAGACTCAATCATTAAACATGAATAAAACAAAGATGCTGTTGTACTGTGTTATTTTCAAGAATGCTTCATCATTTCCACATTTTAGAATGAAGACTTTAGACTGAAAAAAATAATGTACAGAATTTTGCTTGCTTCAAGTGTAAACAACATTTCCACATGAATAAAATGTATTACATTTACACAAGTATTGCCAAAAGAAAGTAAATTCAAAGACAACACTGTGCTGCTGTAATATATATTGTTATATTTGTCTCATACAGTTTAATACATAATAAATCAACGTATGAACGCAAAGAGAAATGCAAGACAAAACAACTGACATTAAAACATGTGCTGTTTAATAGTCTCCCAGACTGAAACCACCTTTCAGCACATCTGTGATATCCACATCACCTGAGAGTTATGAAAGGTAAGTTACAGATTTGCAAGTGAAGTTTTCACTGCATTTTTCTTCTTTAAACCATGTGCTGTAATAAAACATCTGGCAGTGGTGATTCTCACACGAGACAGCAGGGGGCGGTGTAACCGCACCTTTATATTAAACGCAATCAAACTAAATCATCCAAAGCCAAGAATTTAGATATAAATAAGAGATTAAAATGATATTTGACGTACACATGCACACTCAGTGAAGGTTATGAAGTTTTAGTGAAGCCATGTCCATTTTGAGAGCAATTTCAAATGCATATGCAGCCTGAATAATCAGAATGATCATTTAATCTAAATATAACCCAGTCTATCTGTCATATACATGCATGTGAATTATGTAGGCACGTGTTCATAAACATATATACAGGTCTATAAGCATTAATGTAAGTCTGTAAACATACAAACATCTCTAAGCTTTTAATGTGGAACTAAATGTTAAGTTTGTAAATAGGTAAAATCTCTGGTAAAGCAGAACTCTACAGATGTGTTTACTTTAAATACTCCATGAACTCTCAGTCAATTGGATTTGTATGGTTCAGGTTAAAGAAAAAAAAAAAACAGTTAAATTGGGAGCCAATGTGAGACAGATATAACTGTGACCATAACTGTTTTTTTTTTTTCAAATCATTGCCAGCGTCTCTTCCTCAGCAAGTTTTTTTCTCCCTCAGTTCCCAAAAACGCTCCTTTAATCCTGTATGTAAATCCCAGCCAATGGATGCTGTTGTTGAGTTGGGCTGGGATTAGCGGAGGCGAATGAGTTTCAATTTTACTGGATTACAGAACAAAGAAAGGGGAAAGGGGACACTCTGCTCCGTTAAAGAAAAACAGAAAGAAAAAAGGACTGAAAAACAAGACTAAATAATCTCGCCGAAAATATTCCCAAGGAACGAGCGAGCCAGCTAAGGAACATGGTGCAGATTATGAGATTTCATCAACTCGCTGTGCTTTTTCTTTAGATGGGAATTCCGCCCTCACTATTGGATTAAACGGAGAATAAACCTATTCCGGGATTGACAGCATAAGGTAATTAAAACGGAGAAATCTGGTAAGAAACTAACCCTCCTTTTTATTTTATTTACTTATAAATAGGTAATAGCGTTTCTCTTTCTCGAACACGTGACTTTTTATGGATATTCAGAGGGTGAAATTACAGATTATAATTCTGGGGGGGAGGAGGATGGCTAGCTAGCGAATGTTTGGAGTGTTAGCCAAAGTAGCTATCGAGCTAACCTTTTTCCACCAGAAAGGACGGCGTGCCGTGTAATGTTTTCATCTTCGTATGGCGTTAATTTGAGATTGGGGTGTCTTATTAAACATATTCTGGTCTGAAGTCTCGTTTTCGGCGGTTATTGCCGGCTGTATCCTCTATTCGTGCCATGTTTTTCCTTGTGGAAAACGCAGCGCGGTCTCTCCGCTAGCAAGTTGCAGAAACTGAGCAGTTCCATTGTTGCTTTTACGGGTAGCTGGACGAGAGAAACAGCCGGGTCCGTCCGAAATTTAGGGCTTTATTTATAAAAATAGTGACCGCTTTTGGCTGGAATGAACACTAAGGGATCTAAACGGTCGATGAGAGAAGGTTGAGAAGGTCGTTGTTGACAATGTCAAACGCACATAACGTTATATCACTGTTGGCTAATCGGCCACTATCTCAGTCTCGGAGGCTAATTGTAGTAAATTATGCATAGCTGGACATGTTTCATTAAACCAAGGGCATTTCACTCCGCACAAATCTTCACCAAGGACTTTTCGTTTTTTGCTCAAAAAGAAGACTCAGATTTAGTACCCAGCTGTGTCCCGTGTGTCTGACCAAGAGGAAACATTTCAAAATCTCTACTTTCTTCGGCTGTGTGTTCAGGTCTGAACCCCACTCGGCAGACATCAAAAGGCACTTTACTATAGACGGGCGTCTGAACTGTATCCGTTAAAGAATATTCCCGTCTACATGACTTGGTTTGAAAGGGGACTTTCACTGATTTTTCAAAATTCCTGCACTACTCAGCCGTTGAGATGTAAACAAAGTCATTCAGAGTGGTTTGATGTGAAATGGTTCATTGTAGAGAAACTTACCAAGTCAGATTTCTTTCTCTTTGGAATTTATCTCTTTAGTTTCTTCTGTTGCTGTTAAGCTTTATCACCTGTCTGCCACTGGTGTGAAAAGTGCTCTATAAATAAAGTTGTTGTTGTTATTATTATTGTTATTATTATTATTACAGTGGTGGTGACAGATGTGTACAATGCATGTCTGTCCATTTTATTTACTTTCCAAAATGACCAGAAAACCTACACGTGTCTTCTGAGTTTTCATATGTCATGTTGATAATGGTAATTTACTGTACCTTACAGCGCCCTGCATGTACCTCTTTGCCTTGAATGTATTTTAAAAAAACACGTCTAAGGTCAAAACCTTATCAGGAAACTAATGTAAAACAATGTCTCGTACATCAGGCAGCATATTTGTAAACATTTTATGTAGTAACTTTTTGTGAGGGAGCTTTTAAAGGCAACTCTCAAACCCTTCAGACGTCTGGTTCCCATCACTACCATTGTAAACACGTCTGAGTTTCTCTAGGATGGAGCATTTCACATCAAAGCACTTCGAAGGTCTTTTAATGATTAAAAATATGCAGAATTGTTTCCTTTGCTAACTATCTCTGGTAAGGAGTTCTATATTTAAGAGGAGTCAGGTGTGTGTGTATATATATATATATATATATACACACACACACACTCAATAAGTATGAGTAGTTCTTGTATGTAACGTTTGTAGAAAAAACAGAGCACTGCTGTTACTCCAGGCAGTTGTGAATACATTCCAGTTGTTGGGTTAGGAGTTTGTGAAGTATTCATCTTGATTCCTTCATTTCACGTTTCACTGAAAGACTGCATGATGTCTTGCCCAGTGTTTGTACAGCCTTTTGGCCATTTGTAAAGCTACATGGCATTAAGACCAATTAATAGCCAATGATCGGCCCTGAGCTGACTGATTTAGATAGGGTTGTGTTATTCAACGGATCTGCGACTGGAAGCAGTCGTTAAGGGCATTAGCAAGAGTATTGTGTACTGACGGCAGGGAGAGCCGCAAGCCTCTTAGGGCAAACCCGCTCAGAAATCCACGATATACCCTCTTTGAGGTCATGATAATATCTCTAATCACCATATGGGCAATTATTCAAAAAGGAAAGGATCAGCTCCAGTATGTCTCCGCCAGGGTGGAGAGACTTGAATGGCGTGAATAAAATAGCAGTGCCCGGGCAGAGAGACTCCTAATGAAACGGAAGTCATTAATCTGAGCGTTTAAGCGTGGCAGTCTGGCCCGCTCGTGTAGCTTTTGGAAATGTTCATAAAAGCTGATGCTGTTCTTCTTGTGGTATTCAATGTCGCTGCGGTCTTGTCTGTTACACAAGACACTGAAAAAGACACCACCCGTTTTAACACATTAAAAAGGGCAGTCGGTCCATTGAAGGGACCATAAGAACAGTTTAGAACGGGGGTGTTCAAACTTTTTTCAAAGAGGGCCGTATCATACCGTGTCAGAACACCTGAGGGCTGAAATACTACTCAGAAATGATTAATAATATCAAGTTTTCAGAATATCAGCACATAGAATCTGAGCTTTTTGTGGGATTCTGTGCTTCCTATCATGGTACAAAACATGCACAAGGCTTTTTTGATTGCATTTTGGATCAGTATGTGCTTAAAACAAATTAGTAAATTGTTAAAGAGTAACAATAAAACATGTCTAATGTATTAATCAATTGTTTACTTGATTAAACTGAACAAAAAATCTGTACATTTTCTGTTTTCAGTTAGCTAATATTCATTATATTTCAAGTAAATGCAGCAACTAAATTCAGAAATCACTTTATTAAATGAGAAGAGCAGATTAAACAGCATAAATGACCAGGTTTTGGTTTAACTTAAATGGTAAATACTAGGCTATTAAATTTGCTCTGATAAGGAGCTGGTGCTGTTAGATGCTTTTAGTTTGCAGCTGCTGTAGTACCCTGCCCTCTCCTCAATATTTATTGTGATGTCCATGCTTTATTTTGTGTCTACTGAAATTGAATTCATTACAGTCGTTTGATATTTGGCTCTTGATGAAAAAGCCCAAATCGCCAAAATCGCCTCTTAAACTTTAGCTAACTTCGTTACCACAGTGCGGTGAATCACACTGTCATTTTACGGTGCTGCTGCCACCATCAGGTGAAAGGGCAGTAACTGCAACGTACTGGCTGGCAGGCCACTTCTAACACACTCTTAAACAGAAGCCACGGGCATTTGGCCTTAGGGCTGGACTTTGGACACCTTGATTTAGAATTATGCTTTAACAGATAATTCAGCAGAAAATGTATGAAACATAAGTTCACTGTTTTCTCCTTACCACAAATGTACAAACCTTACCACAAACCCAACCAAAACTTGATTGCTGTCTGAAGTTAGCTTCTTTAGTTTTGTGCTGGAGCTACGAAGCTAATGTAGCTAACAAGTAAGCTGGGACAGTAGTGTAAATTTAGACTAATTATTATCGTCTGCAGAATTATGGCTGTAAATTACCCTGATCCAAATTCAGTTACAAAGTACCGCACATGAGCGTTACAGAGCCTTATCCTATAGCTTGCATTATCCCTGATAGTAATGTAATTACCAACTGGGCCAGCTTCTAATAGGAGGGCTGGGCAATATGACAATATTTATTCATTAATATGATAAATTATGTCACAATATGTCACAGCAGGCTTTTCTGAATTGGCCAGTTAGGAAGATTGGCCAACTGCATGTTTGATTACAAAGAGAGAATAATTAGTCCTGTTTATTTGGATTTAGTGCAGCACAGTAGGTTAAATAATCTGGGCTCATAGTTTTAGTAGTATTTTTCAGTGTGGCACTTCTGACTGTTTTTGTCTGTTCCAACTTATCAAACCTTAGATAACTAATGTTACAGTGCTTCTGTGTGATTTTTGGGTTTGCAACCAAAATATTGCCAAACTGGTGGCACCCATTTTCTGGACAAGCTTGTCTATTTTACTCTCTATCAGGTAGCAGATCTCATGTACCGCAGGTTTTTGTTTCATTTGTGGATACTCCAGCGTTGTTTTCCAGATTGAAATTTACATTATATCTTTCTAAGTTGTGTTCAAAGTGTGTATGAGTAGTTAATTAGTTGATGTTGTGTTTGTTAGCCTGTAGTTAAGCGCAGTTTTTTCTCTTGTATACATTGTCGAAGTAACCATAGACTAGAATGATTGTGCAAAGGCAATGTTTAAATAAAGGTGAGGCAAAAAAGAAAATTAAACTGTGAAAAAGCGATAATTTGCATAGTTTCGGCTCTTATTTAAAACAAATATCAATGTTCAGCAATATCAATTATCAGCCCAAGTCTACTAATAATGAACAGAAGCTTATAGCCCACAAATTAGCATTGTGCAACCAATGTTATCTACAAAAAGTGACAAGTTCTATGGCTCAAAACAGAATAGGAGTCATCTTGAAGCCTGAATATCGTCTTTACTTTTGTCTGTTTCTGTCCACATATGTGATAATTTAACATTTTGCACCGCGCAAATTGGTGTACATAAGCTTCCACGACTTATTAGCTACATCACACTTAAAAAAGCGCTCTTTATTATAGAATATGGTTCTATGTAGAACCATGAACACTAAAAGAATGCTTTGCGTGATTAAAGCATTCTTTGCATTGTGAAAACGTTCTTCATTTTGATGGAGAATGTGCTGTTAAAGGTTTTTTTAAAAGGTTCTTCTATAGCAGCAAGCTTGACATCGTAACGATAGAAGAACCGTTTTCAAAAAGGTTCTATATAAACCCATTTACAACACGTTCTTCAACAATCTGAAGACTCTTTTGTGATGCAAAGAACGCTTTAATCATGCAAAGGATTCTTTGAGTGTTCATGGTTCTATTTAAAACCATTTTCGTTACTAAAGAACCCTTGAAGAACAGCTTTTTTAAAAAAGATTAGCAAAACTGATGAACCAAACTTCAGTTGGGCTGATGGACTACATGAAAGTAATGGGAAAGCTGGAAATTTGATTTTCAGTCAAACTGTTGTTTTAAGCTAAAGTAGCATTTGTACTTTTTTAACTCTTCAGCTATTCCCAAAGTCATCTTCACGTACAGTGACCTCAGAAATAAGCTTGTCCACTTCCTTTGGGATCTTGTAGGTGAAGACAAAGTGACACCAGGACTGTGTCTGGTCTGATTTTGTGAACGCACGCAAAACAGACAAACTCACTGGCCTCCGTTTCCTCACTTCAGACTGTGGATTGCGCCTCAAGCGACGGCGGTCAGACGGAGCGGTCCATCTGTGAGCTGTAATGGGTTTCAGAGGGGGCTCCTCGCTCTGGAGGAGTCGGCAGTAATAGCAGGGCTTGAGCCTGGTTGGGGAGCGTTTTTTGGCTTTTGCCTGGAGGCTAGGATAATGGCTCCCAGTGTCTGGAGAGATTAAAGGCCACAGCCGCATTGTTCACATGCCTCGAGATTAGTTTCCAAGGAGACGGATTGCCGTTGCCATGAGAACGCAGGGCCCGGAATTAGGATTGCGTTTCCCACCCCCCTACCCCCCCCTTTCTTTTATCTCCATGTTTTTATAGATTGACGTTTTTGAAAGTGTATTTTTTGGTGCTAAAGGAGTCCTCAGTAGGTACAAATAGACCAATATAGCTAACCAGTAATGAAACTGTGCTAAGTCTTGGGGGGCAGACAGCGAACGAAGCCACTTCAACGACAACAGGACTCTCAGATTGAGGTGAGGGGCGGTCCTGTTTCGGTTCAGTTCACAGGCCTGACTCTCCCAGCCCCTGCGTCGCTTCCAAGGAGAACAAATTAAGGATGAAGGGTTTTAAGGCAATAATCTGAGCCAGCTTTAATTGGTTGACAAAGGCTTATCGTAATTAGCTACTTTCGCATGTGTGTGACGGATTTTGGTGCATTAGCATGGAAGAGGGTATTACTATCACTTTTTAAAGCTTCTTAAAGGGCTTTTATATCCTCAAATACGTTTCTAAGACATGAAGTTGTTTTAGAAGAAGAGTCCAAACTGCCAGCTCTCAAAACTGAAACAGACACAAATGACTGCCGTGTGCTTTAAAGGCAAGGCCGTATTGTGAACGTTATAATATGAATACTCACATCCTGCAGCCGTGCTGTAGTAATCTCTAGAGTGATCTTTTCTTGTTTAAAGACTGGAAAAAACCCTTACTGATAATGCATCTTAAAGGTAGGAGGAGCTTTTGAAAAACTACAACTGCTTTGGGGTGGATTTTTGGAGGTTGGGCTGTTTTTTAAATGTTTTTTCATTAATTATCTGGTGAATGCAGGAGGAAGGAAGATAGTAAAAGGCCCAGGTAACCTATATCTGTGTTTTCTTTCTAATTAGGTTAATCTTGTTCTTGCAGTCAAACAGTAAACATGTACTAAGTTTACGCTTTGAATCATCCAGTGACCAATAATTGGCTGATATATTTCACCATATGTCTCTCCTCACTATGTAAACTGGGTGGTCCTAATCTTGGGTAACGCTTCTATAAGCATTCCCCTTACCAGTCACAGGGCTGACATCTTAGCCCCGCCCACCCAAAACAGTTTCAGAAGCAGAGAATGTTAGCGAGCTAAAGTTAACCCAGCATAACCAAAAGCTAGCAAGCTAGACCACCTGTCTGTAGCTTCCTGTTGTACGTTTGTTCATTTATCCATACACAAACTTTATTCATTCGTCTGTCTCTTCATTCACGTTTTGCTTCGTTTGTCCGTTTGTTTGTTCATCCGTCCATCTTTGACGATGGATAATGATTTTAGTTCTGTTTGAGTGACGGAGCAGACCAGGAGTGTTGGACAGAGAGCTGTCAATCAAGCTGCTCATTAGCCACGCCCACACAGTTCTCAGACAGGTTCGGTCAGCGGTTTTCAAGCCATGTTTTATCATATTTATATCTTATATTTTTCATTCAAGCGTTGCTAGATGTCTAATATATGATATCGCATATCATAGAAACATTTTTAATATTTCACTCTGTGTTCCCTGCACTTTAATGTTACTGCTGAGAAGCTAAATATCCTATATCAGCCATATAACTGTAGTAACTGTCTTCAAATCATCATTACAATGTACAGAATGGATTATTCAAATGAAAGAAAGAACATGCCAGATGTGGAGGACAACAAGCTAAATGCTAAAGTCAGCAAGGTCTCTGGTTATTTAGATACTTTACCACAGCTGGGCTTCTTTTCTCTGGCTGAAAGGGTAAAAACTTGTCTCTGGTGTCAGTTTTGCGCTGAACGAAGGAATATAACTGAGGTAAGAGTAACGCTAATGCTAGCTTGGTTGTATTTATTAACCTGTAGATCAGTGGCTTGACTAGCAGTCAGGGCAACACCGCAGAGATTCCTGATGGCTGTGATGTATTCACATGCTGCATGCTGGGTATTGTAGTGGGAAAACACAGAAGAACGGAAACATGAAACAATACAGCCTACAAATGGAAATTCTGACAAATCAGTGAGGCAGAGTACATAACACAATAAATAAGATGTAAAACTCTTCATTTTAAGCCAGAGTCATTCTTTAATGAACAGGAAAAGCTACCACTTTAGCATTGCTGTGCTCAGGTTGTTCATATGAGCCTCCATACAGTCAACATTGAAGTGAGTGCAGTACACATTGCAAGCATTTTTTTTAGATTTCACAGGATTGTCTGAACAAAAATTCCCCTCTATCCACTCCTACATAGATAAGGACTAGTTTACAGCAGGGCTTAACCTATCTTACTGGAGACACTCCACAGTTTTGAACTTTCTGAGGCAGCTTTTAACCCTTTGAAGTCTATTTTGTGCTCTACTGCTTTGCTGTTTATGTGTAATTACATAATTGCAGAGTCATCTAATGAAATGCTTTTACATTTGATTTACCTTCTGTTTCAACCGATTTGCTCTTCTGACTTAATTTTGTGCAGCTATTGACAAACACCATGCAAATATATAAAGGGTGTTTTTCCACACAACAAGACTTCATACACCACAGTAACTTTTCGGCAAATTCAAATTGTAATAAAATGAGTGAGAGATAATTAATGTAAAGTGGTACCATGTTTTTGTTATTACTGGCTCTAATTCTGATCTCTAAGAGCTAATCCATTACTGTATGAATGAGAAGGTTTGTCTGTGTCTGTGGTACAATATTATATGGTTCTGCCCCTTTAGAGGGATGGCCCAGCTGCGGAAGCTCAGCTGTGATGGGCTGAGGGTGAACTCTCGTACTGAGCTCCGGGGGCCGCAGGTTTCTGCCAGACAGGAGATCCTCACCAGCCTGGTATCAGCTCTGGACTCTGTGGTATGGCCTGCTCACTCTCTGCTATGAAAGGCCTCATTAAAGCGATAGTTTGGATAAATATCAAATTTACGCTGTTTTCTCTTTGCCCCAACAATAGGCAATCAACCAAAACAGGTTTGGTGTCTGAAGTGTCTTTTTTTTTGTTTTCTTTGGTTTTCTTTAGTTTTGCTCTGGAGCTAAGAGGCTAATGTAGCTAACAAGTAATGGAATTTTATGTACACATAGCATTGTACAAAATTATCCACACTTGCCTCAGTCTGACTGAAGTTAAGTAATCTCAAATAGACCTCATGTCCTATGTAAAGGTAGAAATATTAAATACATACTAAATATGTACTAAATGCATGCATACTAAAAACATACATACAAGTAATACATACTAAATTTTAGAACAACATATGACAACTTTAAATTGTATTTAAATTGTAACTAAGCTGTGATTAAATATATATTAAATGCATTTAAAGCATAATTCAGTATGCATTTACATACCTTAAGCACAACTTATATATACTTATATTTGGGTTATGTAGAAATATGTCTTCTGTGCTTTTCTGTTGTAAATTAAATTAAATTATGTTGCAATGAAGTTAACTTAAGCAGTTGTGAGAAGACATATTGTAAATGTATAGTCTAGTTTGAGTTAAAAAAGTACTAAAGCATATCGTAAAAGTCATTGCTTTAAGATGTACTCTTAAATAATACACTTACATTGACAACAGTTTAATATACTTTTCTCTTTGTTAAAATACATTTATTTAAGTGTGTTTCATTACAGCATAATAAGGTATAATTTAAAATATGTAAAACATGTTTTTAGTTGTGCTGTATTTTTGCCAATTTCCATGCGCGTTTGCACAGTGCTAGTTAGTGAGAGAGAAGCTTCTATTGTTTGTTAGCTATGTTTGCTTCATAGCTCCAGTGCCAAACTAAAGAAGCAAACTTTGGACACCTTTGCTGATCATCTACATGTAAAATTGATCCTTTGAACTGAAACATCTTCTCAGAAAAACGAGAAAATCCTCAAAACTTGTTCTCTGTTTATGTTACAGCAATACATTCATTAATATTCGATTGCCTGAACAGTTAGGCTTTTATAGTAAAGCTTAATCTTGTCTTGAATTTACATGCTCATCGTTCTGACGGATGATTGTCTTCTGTAATTACTCTTTTTGGCAGTGCTCTGCTATGTCAAAGCTGAATGCTGAGGTGGCTTGTGTCACTGTGCATGAGGATAGCGTGATCGCTGTGGGAACAGAAAAGGGAAGAATTTTCCTCAATTCCAGGAAGGAAATACAGACGGACTTTCACAAATTCTGCAGTGAGTGTCGGCTTTTGTTCAGTGGAATTCATTATCTCATTACCATTAAAGGGAAAATTAAAACAAAAATACTAACATTGTTGATAACGAATGAAAGCCAGTTGCTACTAATTAACTTTACGCTAATGAGATCAGCTAGACCTCAAGTTGTCATTCATTATTAGCCACATTAGGATTTTGATACTGAGTGAGAGCTCATTCCTTTAGCATTGAGCTTATGATATGAAAAGTAGTGTTTGGAACTGGTGTTAAACTGTTTTTCTGTGTATGTTTCTGATTGATGTTCCACAGGGGTGTCCTGTCTGCAAGCATTAAATTCAGTCAACTCCCACGCCAAAGTTCCTGATGCAGAATGCAGCCGGACTGGCAAAGACACTGGACAGCCTGGGAAGCAGCGAGCCTTAACGGACTCTCACTCCAATATCTTTGTTCTGAGGAAGATGGTAGAGGAAGTCTTCAGTGTGCTTTATAGTAAGGACATCAGTCCTGCAGTACTAAATGCTTAAACGGATATTTTTGAAAACATACTTTTGTCTCCATTTTCAAAAAAAATCTGTCCATTCAGATGAGAATGCAAACACTTGAAAAATTTACACATGAGCATATCACTCTAGAGAGATGTGATAGTACCTCATAAAAGCTGATGTCATGTCTCAAGAAGAACACTGTGAGCCTGCCTGTGGCACAAAATCTGCAGCACAAAGCTAGAACAGAGACTTTCAATACAAACACAATAGGCGTGTTTGATTTAACGCAGGCCGGCAGGCGTTTGTTATCTGATATCTCACACAGACTTGAAATATGATTGCTGCCAGAAAATAAAAGCTTAAAAAGCAAAAAAAAATCCAGGGCTTACAGCTATAAGGTTGTTTACGTTGCCATGTCTGTCTGTGATCACGCAGTCCTGATCACGTCCAGCCCTAGACTTTGGTTAATGATTGTCAGGTCACATATTTGTAGAATCTCTGAGATATTTGCAATCTAACAGCCACCCCGTTTAAAAGAACTGAGTATATTTTATTTTGCTGAATTCAGTTATGAACATTATCAACCCCCAAATTTGCAGAGCATGCAGAAACAAACTGAACTCAATAAATGACAACAGCAACATAAACTAAATTAATGGTGCAAAGTCAGCGTTTTCAAAAGCTGTGTGTTGCTTATCCTCAAAAAAATACAGAAAAATTATTTTTCAAAAATCTCCACTCTGAAGAGTGTTTTAAAAAAGCTCTGTTTTCAGTGACATAATGTGGCATTAACAGTTAGGCCACAGAATAGTTTATGCAAACTGGTCTTTGCTAATTATATTAACATTCTAATTTGCTAATGATATTGAACCTTAACATTTTTGAATGAAGTGTAATTTGTTTTTTGTTTTTTAGGTGAGGCTGTAGGGAAGAGCAGCCTAGTCCCTGTGCCTTATGACTGGATTCAGAAGGAGCCTAGCGCTGTGGTCGTCCAAGGCCTGCCTGATGGTGTGACCCTGAGAAAGCCAGCAGAGTATGATACCAAGACCTTAATGAAGATCCTGGAGCAGAGCAACCGCATCCGCTTCATTGTCAAACGGTGAGTAAAGGACAGGTGCTTTGTTTTTATTTTCAAAGTAAAAATAAGTAATACATCCTCCGCAGAGTCTGTGTGACGATATTTCAATCCGGACTGTTTGGGGTAATTTGAGGAAATTACACAGATCCTTTATCCTGCACAAATCGGCCAGTCAAATCATGCACAAATTACATTACCGGACCTCCTCTGGTAAAACTAATCCAGCCTGAATAGGGCTTAAGTTTGACCTAGGAAATCAACAAAACATGTCATTTGAACAGGGGTGCCTAAACTTTTGCCGTTGTGTGCAAAATCTTGAACACCTTTAGTGAAAGTACGTGTTTTTTTGGGAACAAACTTAAATTTGGTATTTTTCTGTAAATTTTAGAGCACATTTTTTATTTTGTGTTAGAAAAATATTAAACATAAAATATGAAATGTGCCATAACTTTTGCCCTGGTCACATTTAATATGTTAAATTGGGCAAATAAACAATAACTCTATATTAAAATGTGTATTTAAAAGCTTTATCGGATGACTGTATCTATATAAGAAAGCTAGCTTTTGTAACTTTTTTGTGACACAGTGACATAATTTTACCCTTAACCCAAATGTTAAGGATATATAGTTAGAACTCATATAGCTGTGCTCTCAAATCCAGACCACCAGACGAGCCCTTGCGTGATGGCAAATCCTGTCCGGAAGCTAATCACCACTCCTCCTCGGCCGCCAAGGGCGCCAGCAACCACGCCCCCGTCAAACCCCCCGCACAGGAAGTGCCTGCCAGCAGCTCCATGCTGTCCAGCTTCCTGTATGGCATGCCCATGTCCTCCCAGCCCCACCCGGACGGCAAGCTGGAGCTGAAGTCCTCGGCCCTGCACGGCCTGGGCAAGGAGCGACAGGCCATGTGGGCGCCGGGTGATGAAAAGGGGGCTGCCGCCAAAGATGGCTCTGACAGTGGTGAGAGGTTTCCCCTTTTTCAACGGCAGGAAAGTGTAGTCAATCAGTCAAAACGAGTGTCCAAGGTTTACTTCCTTGTTTTTTAGTGGAGTTAAAGGTTTAATGTAGCTAAAAGCAATAGAAGCTTATCATAAGTGATCATTATGCACACTTGTATTATCATAATGCTTAAATCATCACACATTTATCTGAAACTGCATCAAGTAATCTTATGTACAATAACTGTGCAAAAGTCAAAGACTGCCTGTTATTACATTTCCAGTCAAAACTGCCATGAACTAAAAGTTATGTATTTTTCGGTGTCAGGAAAAAGCAGAAAATGCGTTGAACACAAAATTTTCAGAAAAAAAATATATGTGACCATCTTTTTCCTTTATTACAGCTTCCATTTTTTAGGAGACTAGCTTTGAGATTTTTAAAGAAATCTGCAGGGATATTTTTTCACACCTCCAAAGTTCAGTCACAGAAGTTGATTACATTTTCTGCCTCTCATGATCTGAATAACCCTATTTAATGATGTTGAGGTCTGGAGTGGTCAGTCTATTGTTCTGAGAACAGTAGCACCTTCTTTGTCTGATTTGCAACATTTCTGTTTGTCTGATGGGGACAGTTTTGGTGGTCTACCAGGTCTTGTATGGTTGTTAGGAGTCCCATTTTCTGTATATATTTTAATTCTAGTTTTAGAAAAACCTGTTTTTTTTGCTTACTTTCCTGTGAAAAGTCATCTCACACATGCCTCAAAAGGAAATGAAGTTAAGGGGTCTCAAGTAGACTTGCTTATGTGGTTTCTGGCCATCTATGGCATACAGTTATGTATAAAAATGGACATTCAGGCTTCAACGTTCAGTGTGCTGCTACAAGTTTTAGCTATGTGATGTAATTTTTGTTCATTTTTGATTTCTATCATTTTTATAGATGTATAGATACTGTATGCCATACAGTGTCAAAACATGTCATAGCTGATCAACTACATTTAGGATGAGGGGAAATTTTATGTTTTTTTTTTTTCTGCCAAAAATGATTTTTCAGGATTTTCATTATTCTGTTAACAAATGAAGAACATGCATTTGTGTACCTTAGCAGTAGGCCTTTTAGGTTTTGTAATTTATCACATCTGAGTTTATCATCGTGTTCTGTCGTAGGTGAGCGGATAGCACTGGCAGGAGACCTCGGCCAGAGCCCTCCCAGCATCCACGTCTCTAAGCGCCTTCTGTTTTCCATAGTCCATGAAAAATCAGGTACGCGGCAGACTGCAAACACGTACACGTGCACTAAAATCAGAACAGAATACAACATGATGTTTGTGTCAGGCCTAGATAAAAACGTCTCAAAGTATTTGCATAGTTTTTGCATTCCTAATGTGTTGTTCGTTGGAGCAGTTGTGGTGATAGCTTGCTTTAAATGTAAAGCTGCTATCATCTGCCTCACAGTAACAATGAAATTTATCAGTTATGAATCACTTGCTAAAAAAATGACACACCTACAGAGAAATGACCATCTGGGTTATGTTGGTTACCATAGCTATCAGTTTAGGAAATGTAGCTCAGCCGTTGTAGCCGTGACTGGTGGAGAACGATGAGGAAAAAAAAGGGTCATTGTGCCAAAGACGCTGAGTGGGTGGGTGGAGGCAGACTAAAGCTGGGAGTTCAGCCAGGACACCCGGGCCTTCGACTTCTGTTCCCCTCAAAAGAGCGACAGGAGCCCTTCAGACACTGCCGGGAGTCAGGACCTGCGTTAATTGTCTTCTCTGACTAACACAAACAAACCCAGAAGACAAAACAAACCACAATTGCTCACTATAGTGCTGTACTGCAAGTACTGCTTATGTACTTGCATGTTTCTGTGCTGTGTTACGCTGTTGAAAACTGTACCTTTCTGAAATTCTTCTGCTCCTTTTCCTGTGCAGAAAAATGGGATGCATTCATCAGGGAAACAGAGGACATCAACACACTTCGAGAATGCGTACAGATCCTCTTTAACAGCCGCTATGGTGAGCCAGTTTCAGAGAGCTAACCACTGTACAAACCACTATATTCACACAAACGCAAACCACAACCACTGTCTCTGTGTCTGTTTGTATCCATGGCTCTTTGTGTTTTTTCACTTTAAAACAGCTATTTTAGTCTTGGACATTACTGTCGTTTAGGTACGCTTATTAAATAGGGAAATTTCTCTGAATTGTTTTTATTTCTACAGATTCAGTTACTGAGATAAAAACAGTGTAATTCAGAGTGGTTTAACGCGAAAACGGTTCATTGAGAAACTTAGCAGCTCAGATTTCTTTACAGTCGTAGTGATAGGAACCAGGGATCACAATGTCTTCAGCACGTGCAGACAGTTTATTTACAATCCAAAACTAACAATTAACCAGCGCCTGTCTTCTGAGTGTTCAAATGAAATGCAATATTAATAGTAATGTAGTTGTATATTCTACCGAATTAGTTCAAACTGCAGACCCACGGTAAAAAAAAACAAACAAACAAAAAACAAACCTTGTTCAGACCTTAGATATCTGTAAGGACAAAATTATGATATATTTAAAACCAAGGCATTAATAGTGATGGTAGTAAGCTAAATATATACAAAATCATCATTTATAGGGTACTTTCTGTTAGGAGGTGGCTGTGCCAAACACAGACCCCCAAGTTTCAGTGTTGTTATTTCCTTTAAAGTGAAGCTGAAATGTTTAGGTTTATTTATTTATTTATTTATTTTTTTAAACCAAGAAATGCTGCCCCATGTTGGCATGTTGCGTATCACTAGCAATGGCCGAGCCTCATGTTGGCCACACCCTTGTATTTTAGAGCAGGAAGTGAGACTGCATCCTTGTCCCACATGGTGAAGAGTTAGATCCCATTGTTTTGAAGCAAATGTGTCCCAAAGTCTGAAAATATTATGGTTTAGTTGTGTACAGCTGGCTGTGTATGCTTGTCATGTACTGGTTAGTGTTTTTAGTCATGCTCAAAATGAGCTAAAATCGTCACTGCTGACGCAGTCACTAACATTTGGTAAAGTTTTGGTAGTGCTATGCTTGTTAGTGGCAAAACGGAATGTTCAGTCATTTAATTAAATAAACATAATTTCCCCTTAAAAGGCCAGGGCCCGTCATAATCTAAGAATAGCTTAGCCAGTTCGCATTGAAGTCCCTGCAGTTACTGAATAATAAGCCTTATTATGTAGTAAGCCTAGGATTTTAATCGGTTAAGGTGTAGGGTCACTCAAAACAAAATGAGATTTAGTCTAAAGTCCAAGTCAGTTAAAAGTCTGACCAATTTGGTCATCCTTCTGATGCTATTTTGCCTTAAAGTTTTTTTATTTCATTTTTATTTGAGCTTAATCATGTAATTACTAATTAATTATATAGTTAGTTACGTAATGAAATGTTTACTTTCACTTTACTTTCACTTTACTTTAATTTGTAACAGTAAAGTAACTAAATGTAATAACTATATTTTATTCTCATCAGCTGAAGCTCTGGGCTTGGATCATATGGTTCCTGTGCCATACCGTAAGATTGCCTGTGATCCCGAAGCGGTGGAGATCATTGGAATTCCGGACAAGATTCCCTTCAAGAGGCCGTGCACCTATGGAGTGCCTAAACTTAAAAGGATCTTGGAGGAGAGGCACAGTGTCCGCTTCGTAGTCAAAAGGTAAGGGACTCCATCTAGGTTTCCCCTGAAAAACAAATCTTTTTAAGTGGCCACATGTAAAAGAGCACATCTGGAGGACTTCAAGTCTTGAAGCCTCCACATTTTGTTAAAATCTGCCAATGTTGAAATTATTATATTGTTGAGTGCTGCATGCAAGATGAATCAAATGAAAACCTGATTCAACATAAACACCACACTGAGCAGATATAGCTGTAATTTAGCTCTAACGGAACTCTTATCCTAATAGACTAGACTGATAGTTAAATCTACTGTTTCACAATAAGAGTCCCATATAAATCTAATCTTAAATGTAAGTGTACTTGATTTAGTTGAACACTAAAATGTTTTTAAACACTGTCATTTATACTATTATTGCTACAAAAACAACAGCAACAACAATAATAATAATAATAATTGTAACTAATATTATTTTTTGTGGTGACAGACAAATCACTAATGACCGATGACTAAGATGTGCTTAAATCAGTGTAAATATGTGTAGTTAAAATAAAAATATGGAAAAAAACTTTTTAACTGCAACTGAGCACTTAAGTATTATGTATCGGCATCAGCAGCAGATATGTACATGAAACACATCGGATATCTGCATCGGCCCACGATCCCATATTGGTGCATACCTAAACAACATGACATCACACAGTGTGAATGTGTGCTGTTTCAGGATAAATTTGTTTTGGATCATTTCTGCTGATGCCGGGCCAATACCGATATTTAGTGTTGGATCAGCGCCACCTCTAGCGATCACTTTCCAGTTGATGTTTGCTGTCATTTCATTTAGCAGTCAGTGACTGAACATGAACATTCGGCCATTTGTAGTGACCACACTGAATTTTCAAATTCGTCCCATGAAGAAAGCACTGAGACTCTTTGTGCCATCTGGCAGACCACTGTTGGCCGTCCAAGGCGCTGCGCCCCGCTGGGTGTGGTAACCGCTGCCATCCACGAGCCAGCGTGCGCCCGACGATTTGGCTTAATGAGGAAATCTCCCGCTGCTAGTCACCAGCCTTATGCATGCAGATTAAGCAGTTCAATATGTTTAGGCGCAAGTCCGCTTCTAGGCTGCTTATTTACAGACTTTTCCGTTCTTTTTTCAGAATGTTTGATGAGCGGATCTTCACAGGTGAGTGGGACTTTACTCAATCTCTTCTCACACTGGGAATCTTGTTTGTTATGATAAGATTTTGTCTGTCTTGTAGCTCAGTGTTTTCCAGCTCCAGTCCTGAAGTGTCCCTCATGCACTGCATAGCTTGATTTGATTCAGAACTAGAAAGAATTGATAATTATTCTGTGTTCATATTTCAGATTAAAGTGGCAAAATCTGTTACTTTGGCCTAAATGTGACCCAATTTATTTTTTTAAAGCTGTGTGAAAGAAAGATGTGACCTTTATTTTTTATTAAGAAATAGGCATGTAAATCCAAAGAACTATATACACCAAGCCCAAGATTTACCCATGATATCTTTACAGGTAATAAAATAATATTAATTAACACTAAAGTAAAAGTAAATGTGTCCCAAAGTCTGAAAAGCAGTGCGTAACTTTAAGAATTTTCACTAACAAAACTAATATTTTCTGCAATTGAGTGAACTTTTTGGTGTTTTAATGAAAAATATTATGATTTTATGTGTGTACAGCTGTTAAAAGCTGTGTTTGCTAGTCATGTACTGGCTAGTGTTTTTGAGTTCTGCTCAAAATAAGCTAAAATTGTCATTACAGAAATAGTCACTACGGAAATGTTTGGTTTAAAGTTATTTAAAAGTCCATAATGGGTTTTGACCTCTGATTTAGAACCTGTTTAGTAGAATGATCCATATACAGCTTGTCCTAATCAGCTGAATTTGCAGTCTATCAACAGAACACCAACGCAAAACTACACACTGCAGGGTTCTCCAGGATTGGAGTTTGGAGACACTATTGTAACTAGCTAATAATGAGTATCAGAGCTTAAACTGCATGTGAGCACTCTTTCTCTAAAATTAAGGAAGTTGAACTATCACAAATGGCTAAATTCTGGTTTTCATTTCTCTCATCCTTTTTCAGCTGCAGGAAAGGTTGCTAAAGAGGAGGGCAAGCAAGATGGTTCGGCCCTCGAAGAAGGCTTCCCAGAAGGCCTCAGGGTGCCGAGCTCAGCACTGGAACTAGTCAGCAACACCCACAGCAGCAGGTACGCATCCGTCCCTGCCGGCATCGAGAGTGGCAGCCAGGCTAATTGGTTTTAAACATGCCCCAGTTTGTGTGCTCAGCCAAAGTAAACAGCCGATTGTGGATGCATGTATGAGAAACTCCAGTCCGGTGGTACTATGTAGTCTAATTGGATTTACAGAGGCTGAAACCTTTCACTAGTGCTAACCGCTTTAGAAATATTTTCCTGTCAGTCAGGGTTAGCAGTATTTACTCAGCCCTTAGCCCAAATTGCTCATGCTCATCTTCTTTGTTTTGTTTGGATGTCTCTCTGTCTCTAAGATCCACCAGCTCCTGTGTTAGTCCCTTGGCAGAGTGTGAAGCAGGTGAGGCTCTATTATTGTGCGCTCTGGTAATCTTCAGAATGGTTTAATAATTTAATAATATCCGCTGTAAGTAATGGCTCACAGTATTTTATACCTTGTCTCTTTCCACTTTGAGTAATGGAACTTCTTGCTTTGCGAAAAAAGAAAATATGCAGTATTTTTATTTTTTTTTCAGGGCCTTCGGGAGACTGCGTACCTTTGAAAAAGATCAAAACAGAACCACCAGACGGTGAAATTATTCAGGTGACCGTGCCAGGTATGTGCTTCTTCTTCTCCCATGCTGTGTAATACCAGTAGTAGCAGATGTGACATCCTGGTTAAATAAGTCAGTGAGCAAGATCATGGTAGGTCCATCTTGTTTTTCTGCTATGCATAGCGTGGGCGAGTGGTGTTTCAGTGAACTTTGCCCCTCTCTGGTTTTGTTTGGATTTTTCTATATCAAACATTATTGTCTGAACTGATGCAGAAACAGGCATTCAGAAGATTAGTGAACTGAAACTGTAGATGTTGATAAAGTGTCAGTGATGGTTCAAACAGATCCCATAGTCAAATGTAGTGATTAGCGTTTAGCCTTACAACTATTTCTGTACTATTTAAATGGAAGTACAATTTGCAAATCAAACAGAGAAGCTGCTGGTGTCCTCAAAACAATGGACTGACCACCCCAGAGTCCAGACCTCAACATCACTGAAAGAATTGTATTTATTTGTTGAGGCTTCTGTGATTTTCTTAAAATTGTTTTAAATGGAAATGAAATAAATGAAGGGTGAACTATCACAGTATCACAGTACTGTAGTGATACAATTCATTTCCCAGTCTGTATTTCGCTACTGTCAGAGTTAAACCTTGTATCTTCAAAAAGGTAACAGGATAAAGAAAAACCTTCTTGACTTCTTGATGTTAATGGAGTAATTTTGAACCATTTCTGTTGGTCTAATCATCACAAATTTGGATACAACATAAAGAGCAACTGACTTTTTCAAATTACGTTGAAAAATCAAAAATGACAAAAATGGAGATACAAGTTTTTGTCCCGGCAGCAACGATATGCACCTCAGACTTTTCCCATTTGTTTCAATGTCAAACGTAACAGAAAAATGGCAAAAAATGTAACTGATTTTACCTTCTGCAAAACAAAAGTGAATGCACAACAGTAACTTTGCATCAAATCCAAATCATCTTCTACATATGAACACAAATGTGATGTGGTCTGGAAGTTTAGAATCTGCACTTTCTACAGAATTTACGGCAATGTAAATATGAAACATTACAGAATTATTAAACTTGTTTTTTTTGCCTATAACTGCAAATTCTAAGTGGTAAATCAGTCTCTCTCTCTCTCTCTCGTAAAGAGTCCACTGCATCTTCGGAGGAGCCGAGTGAGCCTCAGGCTGACCTAGTGACCCCTGACCTCCGCCGCCCCCTGGAGCCACTAGCAGGTAACTGCAGTCTTGCCTTCTCCCAGCAGGAGCTTGGACACAGCACCCTCTGGCTTTGGAACTCTTCTGCCGTCAGTTAGGGAAGTAGAAAACCCTAAATGAATCAGAAAACGTGTGAAACCTTTCCTAGATGATCACCTCCTAACTTTCTATCCAGTTACTAGTACCACGTTCCTTTCTATCCTGTCTAGCCCATGTCAGCCCTTGACCAGGTTTTTCACTCCCTGATTCATGACCTCGGTACTTGACAATCCAACAAAGAACTCATGAGGTAGTTATTTCTTACAGGAAAATTCTGCTGATTTTTCCAGATTTCTGCATAATTACATCATTAAGATGTACACAAAGTCATTCGGAGTGGTTTGATATGAAATGCTACATTCAAGAGTCAGAATTGTTCATAGCGGTGGTGATGGCAACCAGACGTCTGAACAGTGTAACGCCTCTAAAAGCGAAATCACAGAATGTTATTATCAGAATGATTATAAATATGTTGCTTGACACTGTAAGGCAAAATAGTACTTAAAGAAAACTCATTTTTAGATTTGCGACCATTTTACCATCAACATTATATATAAGAATTTAGAGGACTTGTGTTGGTTTACTGGTCATTTTTGCTGTTATAAAAATGGATCACAACCCCTGATATCACCACTACTGTAAAGAAATCCAGATAAGTTACAATGCACCATCAACATCAAACCACTCTGAATGACAGTGCTTCAAATCTGATTTGATTATGCTGGAAACATCAGTGGAATTGCATGTATGTTTATACTTGATGTCTAGTTATATGGTGGATATTATATGGTGGATATTTAGTTGGGGTGTAAATCTCTGGTCTTGATTGCAAAGAAAGGATTCAGTGCATCATGAAAACTCAAATTTTACCTCAATCCAGTTATTCAGTTTGATTCAGTTATTCTGGTATGGTTAAAAATATTTTTTTACATTATACTATATGTTACTAGAGACACTATTTACACAGCAGTGTAATACAGGCAGTTAAAAAACAATACACCAAGCTAATTTTCGTTGTTCACTCGCTAGCTAGTTCTTCCCATCACTTGTTGTGCATGCTTGCTAGCTGTTACAAATTATTTTAACATTTTAAAATCGATGCACTTGGATCAATACCCTCATTCTTACACTCCTAAAATTAAGTACTGCAGTGGATATACAGAGGGGAAGGCCTGGTAAAAGCCATAACCTGCCCATTCTGAAAAGGCAACATCCAGAAACCTAGCGAGAGGAAAATTGGTAATAAAAATTTATATATTTATTCGTGGTCCTGTTTTCTAGAAACAGAAAATGTTTAGACTTGGACTAACCTTTTAAAAAATGTTTTAGTCTAAGATAAACACTTAATGTTTCTTGAAAACACTGGCCAGTATCAGTATCTTAAAACAATAACAGCATGTCTCAAAAGAATAAATCTGCTGAATGACTTGCCTTTTCAAAACTGTCATGCTCGGATATTAGACTGTGTAGAATGTTTGTTGGATGTCTACCATAATTACAAAAGCAGCTTGAGCAAAATGAGAATCCCAGTATCAAACCCAACTGCCGAACAAATATCAGTCCCAACCATGGTCCAGGTACTCTAGTCAACTGTCTCTCCTTGTGTGCTCTTTTGTTCTGAAATGTAGATTCCCAATCCAACAACCCAAACCCAACAGTAGAACTTTCCTACCTTAGCTGCCCACTCCTAGTCCCAATACACAGAACTGCAGTGCGAGTTAATAAGACTACTTAACTCATATTGTGCATCCAAAAAGACTTTTTGATTGCCTTATAGCAAAATACATGATTATAATCTAACGTATTCTGAATACACTTGTAGTTAAAGTGTTCATATTAACTCGCATATTAATGAAATTCAATTGATTAATTTGATTCAATATGTTATTTTGAAGTCTGCTTTACACACATGGTCATTGGAGTAAACAACAGGTGAGTGGATCAAATCAAAAGCTAAAGTCTGTTAGAGTGTTGAGAATAGCACTGTATTAGTTTTAGTCATCCACATACCGAATGCTTGTACTTTCCATTTTGCCTAACTAGTGTATTTTTTGTCTTTTAGCTGAAGCACTGGCACAGAAGTCTACACCCCAGGGGCTCAAGAGAGTTGTTGAAGGTAAGCCACATTTTGTAAAGTCCATTTAGACCCCTTTTCAAATATTGCTGTCAGTCTGTGTGATTGTATGTCCTTTCTTCTAGAAGACATCGGAGAGATGATTCTTCAGCTGCGAAAGCAAGTAGAGAGTCTTTTCAGCACGAAATATGGTAAGAAAACCATGAACCATGGAGCTTAACGCCAAGGGTTAATGATTTGTTGTATTTCTCCCAAGAAATAGGAAGATGTGGCCTAATGTAAGGTGCATTTGGAGCACGAGAGGTGTGACTGCCCCCTGGCTGAACCATGGTGAACTGCACATTGATTTGACGATAGAAATTTTTATGTACTGTTTGAGAAAAAAAATCTGGAATTTGGTTAGTGTTGGAACTAAACCAGCATCACATGCTAACAGAAAACAGCAAATGTATATGATAGTACCAATCAATTAGAACGATTATTAATGTAACATATATAATATACTATTGAGAAATCAGATTACACTATTATATTTTGTAATTATTCCCAATATCCCTATTATCCTCCTCCCTAGCTGAGGCTCTTGGGCTGCCTGAGCCAGTTAAGGTGCCGTACTCCAAGTTCCAGATGTATCCAGAGGATCTGTACATTACAGGACTACCGGAAGGGATTACATTTCGGAGACCAAACTGCTTTGGAGCTGCCAAACTTAGGAAGATACTTAGTGCCAGTAGCCAGATCCAGTTTGTCATTAAAAGGTAGGTCAAAAAGCTGCTAAAGATGAATCGACTTGCTGCATTTATTCACATTTATTTACAGTAATCAACTGTAGTGATATACTACAGCTTTAATCGAAGAGAGAAAATTCTGATTTGTTTGTGTTTTTGTTGTGTATTCCAGGCCAGAGTTGTTAACAGAAACTCAACTTAAGCATGAGCTTCCCCCTCAACCAGCTTGTGACCCAGGTAAACATAGTACAGAATCATACTTGCTGCCTATCTGGACACAGATTATGCTCAAAGCAGTCTTAGCTCTTTCTGTTTTGCTGTCACCAAGACAGGTGGCTGAGCATTGATCATTTTTTCTCCAAATTTCAGTAGAGTCTGACCCCAAAGACAACCTGGCTGAAGACCCTGGGCCTGCTTCCAAAAGGCCTGCATTCTCAGGTAGTAAATGGATCGTGTCACTAAATGTTTTATAGTAAAGAAGTAGGACTGTGTGATATGGACAGAATACTGATATTGACATTATATTATGTTGTCCTGTTCACAGATAGCTTAGAAGCTAAGCTTTCCCGTATCGATTTGGCGAACACCCTGAGGGAGCAGGTCCAGGATCTGTTTAACAGAAAGTATGGTGAGGCACTTGGCATTAAGTATCCAGTGCAAGTGCCTTACAAGAGGATCAAGAGCAACCCTGGCTCGGTGATAATCGAGGGCTTACCCCCTGGCATCCCCTTCCGGAAGCCCTGTACCTTTGGCTCGCAGAACCTAGAGAGGATACTGGCAGTGGCTGATAAAATCTCCTTCACCATTACGAGGTAAAGCACTGGGTGCACCTTTTCACTAAATGATGCAAAGCATCTTTTCACAAATACCTGATACAGCTATTGGGAATCCCCACACAGCAATAAAGCAAAAAACACTGACGTAAATGCTAATAAATACACATGTGGTGACTTGCTGTCTAGCAGTAATGTTAGCTGTCTGGCTTCCTTCTGCTTTCAAACAAAAAATTCCAATAGCCCATCATCAAGTATCTGCACCAAAGCAATTTTAGTTTTTCAAACGTTCCTCCTATCTTCATGATACATTATCAAAAAGAGGTGTTCTAAATTGTTAAACTTGTTAAAAAAAAAGTTAAATTGTTGGAAAATGTCACTTTCAGGACTGTTGTGGCACAACTGTTTATGAGAAGTGTGATAATTACCTCAAACTACTCTACTGAATATCACATGAGTCTAAACCTAGACAAATAATGTCTTTTTTTTTGTCTTTACAGGCCTTTCCAAGGACTTATACCCAAACCAGGTACTTACCCTGTGATCTCTATTCAGCTTGTACTGAAACGGCTCACTTTAGAATACATTGAATAATACTACCTAAATGTCTTCTCTTTTCTAGCACCACGAAGAATCACCTTACTAAAAAAGGCATATGCCTCAATAAGTGGTGAGAATTTTTTACCTTTCTAGTTAGTTCTATACTCATCTTGTGGACAGAGTATCTACATTATGAACTTCAAAACTAAGACCGATGTTTGTAAGGTATTTTGTGAAAGGTAGAGGTGAAATTGTGCAGATGGTTCTGTTCCACCAGATGATGAAGAGGTCAGTCGTATGGGAGAAAAAGTTATCTTGCGAGAACAAGTAAAAGAGCTGTTCAACAAGAAATATGGTCAGTATTCATGCCAGTACTTCCACTGCAATTGCATTTACAGTCGTATGTGAAAGTTGACCCTTGGTCAAATGATGTTTTGTTGATTTTCTAAGAAAATACGTTAACACATCCTCTACAGAGAACACACTTCTGCACATTTTAGTGCACAATATATGTTGATGTGCTGCAGTTAACATATTGGAAAAAAATAACAGAAAATGTAGCTTGTGCAAAAGTTACGGCTCATTTTATTTTTTTTCTCTCAATGTGTTAAATTCAGCAAATATACAGAAATGGTGCATGAAAATTTACAGAAAAAATGCAAACTTAGTTTCACCTCGAAAAACAAAACATAATTTGATCTAGCAAGTTTAATTATAGAGAACCTGTAAATGACAACAACAAATATGTAGGAACTGCATAGAAAAAAGTAGCTGACTGATGTCAGCAAACCTCAAAAAAAAAAATTTTGTGATACATATTGTGTGTTGTGAAAATGCCTTTAAGTATCATAATATTTTTCATATATTGCCCAGTCTTAGATTATTCTTCAACATCTTGTATTCAGGGGAGGCCCTTGGCCTGGATCGATCCGTTGTGGTTCCGTACAAGTTGATCCGGGCCAGTCCGGACTCATTGGAGGTTTGTGGACTTCCAGATGATATTCCGTTCAGGAACCCCAACACTTACGATATAGTTCGATTAGAGAAGATCCTTCAGGCTCGAGATGACATCACCATCAACATCAAAACCCCTTTACAGTAAGTGAAACTTCAGTAAGGATAATTTTGATCATTTTTGAGGGACAGCTAGTGTTGGATAATATATCCTCTATACTGGTATTGGTGTTGTGCAGTTATACTGATTTTTAGTTTTAGCGTTATTGATAGATAACAAAAGCAACACTGTGTAAGATTCGCCTTGGTTTAATTTTAAGATAAACAGATGAGAACTACTGTTGACAACTACTGTCGACTCTACACAACGCATTGCTTGGCGAAAATGGACCAATAATCTTGTTTTAGGTCTAAATTGGAATGTATTCTGGAAGTATATGCATGATATGTTTGATACAGTGTTTTAATAGGTATTCTTGTTCCTGTTTAGGCCTTTTGTACAGCTTTGTCCTCAGACTTGTAACACAGGTAGGTTCTCATAACTTCCTTTTGATTAATATTGAAACTATGAACAGGGAAATCCCTCCTATGTATGTCAAACAATTTTGTTTTGCTCTTTGCTTGCAGAAGGGAAGGAAGTTTCAGTTAATCGACGCAAACGCAAGCGGGTTCTGGACAGCAGTCGAGCGGCCATTCCCTCAGGAGCTGACCCCGCCGCTTCAGCCAACCAGATTCCAGTAATGGTATGGACATGAAACAGTCCTGCTATGGTGAAAGAACACAGGCTTGTAACACAATGTGCAGTCAAAACATGAAACATACCATGAGTCATGCCGTGGTAACATGCTAAATTATTCTAAAGGCAAATGGCATTAAAGCTACAGAGAGTAAAACATGTAGTTCTCGCTGATTTCTGCCAGCTGCTGAAGGAGTCAGTCCACTCCGTTCAATCCCTAGCCCTCTATCCAAACCTCTTTCTAAAGCCCTACCTTCCAAAAACATGTAGTATCAGGAGGTTAAAACAGGGGAGGGCATCATGATCTAGGAAAGTGCTGGGGTGAATGCAAGATTCTGTTCCACACAAGCAACAACTGATTGCAGATCAAAAAAACTTGCAGCACCTACACTGATTGACTCTGTATGCTAGCTGGGAGCACAGCTGCTTGATTGGATCAAACGTCTGCACCCACAGTGCTGCTGTTGTAAGCTACATCGAAGTAAACATTCACAGCTAAACCCGGACATGTAAGTGTTTTTGGTCTAGCTTGTTATAATGCTAGCTACTTCTTCTAATAGCTTGAGATGCAACAGTGCAGCTAATGGTACTGTGCTAGCGTCGATAGCGTTTAAGCAAACATTATTTGCTAGATATGATTTTGACATCAAAACAAATGGACATACACAAGTTTGGAATTAAACTCTTCACATACAGAATGGAAATTAAAAGTAAAGGTAATTAAAGTTAAATTTAGACAGTGTAGTAAAACAGCAGCACTAACATGACTTCTGGTGGTTACACTGCAAAATATATTATCTTACACAGTCATTATATCTAATATTTCTCTTTTTTGAGATTGTTGTAAGGGTATTGTAAGAAAATTTTACTTATTCTAGACATTTTTTCTTGTTTTGAGTCATTTTATCTAGTAAAATTATTGTCTTACTCTGTTGGCAGATAAATACTTTTTCAAGCATTATTTCTTAAAATAAAATTATCAGCATTACATCCTAAAACAAGCAAAAATATCTGCCAACAGAATAAGTCAGTTTGACTAGATGAAGCGTTTCAAACCAAGTAACAAACTTCTACAAATGTAATAATTTTACTGTCACATAATGACAAATAGTAAATAGATTTTGGCTGTTCTTATTTTGCAAGATATACGATATTCGTTTCTAATTCAGGGTCTGAGATGCACAAAGGATGTTTATTTAAGGTCTTCTGTTTGGCCTTTTCTCTCCTTGCAGCAATGGCCCATGTACATGGTGGACTACAGCGGCGTGAATGTCCAAGTTCCAGGGAAGGTCAAATACTAATGGACCACCTGACACCCCTATCTGAAGGAAGAGGAATCCTGTCGGGGGATGTGTTCAGACAGACATCCGTTTTAAAATCAGCTTTTTTTGGAGTGCTGTGGCTGATCTCGTGGTATAACGGAAGACTTGCGTAGATGCTGGCAATCACAAACTCCTCGAGCGAGATGCTGAACGGAACGAGGAGTTCTCATCACAGTTTCAGGACACCAAGTCCCGAAACGTGAATTTGCTCGGCACTAACTCAGACCGTTACTTCCCCGTTTGTCAGTGCTTTATTTTTAAGGTTGTAAAAGGAGTATTTTATTTTTTTCTCATTTCTGGTAATGTGTTACTTTGCATTATACACAGGTAGTCAAAACAATTGCTCAGATGTTTTATTTTATCACTGATGAACACCAACAAATTTCCGTCAGGTTCAGACATCATAGTTAAATATTTCTCAAGCTTGAGACTGCTTGAGATTTCTTGTTGGAGTTTTTGACAAGATTTTGGCCTGCGTTTACCACAACTTCACTTTTTCTCCCTACTTTATTCTTCCTCCCTGCTTTTACTACCTTTCTGGCACACTGGATCACAGTTATGTTGTTGGGAAGAGGTTGACTCCTTGTTCACTTAAAACCGTGTTGTTTACTTGTAGACAAAAACACTGTACTGCTCAGGAATGCTTATATGGTTCAGATGGTCATTCCGACGGATTGCAGTACACTGCAGGAAGTGTAGGGGGCGATATGGTTTCTGTTGTTTTGTTTCAGTCAGAGAATTTGTAGAAAGGAGAATTGCCACTCAGCAATGTCTTCTGGGTTTGTCAAATGCTAGAGGGCGCTCCCGGGCAAGTTCATAATGAATGGGTTAATATGGAGCATGTGAGCAAAATCATAGTTTATAAATACTTAGACTATTTCTATATAGAAAATTACTTTCAGTTTCTGAACATTTAACACTGCTGTTATATTTTAAGGGCTTTTGAACTCCAGTTATAGGACTTTAAGTAAGCGTGAACTGCTTCAATCAGCCAATGAGCTTATCCGCTCGCCAGTCAACCAGCGCTCAGTAGCAGTAATGCTAGTGTCCTACTGCCAAAAGCCTGTTTGTTGTAGAAAAAAGAAAAATATACAGGTTAGTTTTCTTTGCTTTTCTAGTAAAACACATCCTTCTACGTTCTAAAATTTAAGCAAGTTCCAGGGTAAGTGGTTAGAAACTATTTAGCGTTTTGTTTTTAGCAGTTTTGCTCCATTTACCCCATTCATTTAGAACTTGCTTGCAGGCGCCCTCTGGTGTTTTGCGGTCAAGTTTTATATAATGGGAGAAATAGGAAGTGGCCAGGCTTCCCTTAAACCGGCTCTGTTTCAGTATTAAAGAAGTGAATGGTGCTGTGATGGGACAGTGTGACAGGAAACAGCAGAAAGCATAATGGTTTCATTAGTTATTTAATTGACTAATACTCAATAGATTCATTGAGCATAGAAATAATAAAAATAATCTGCCTTTTTTCAGTGTTGTGACAGGTCTGTGAAGGTTTTTCTATGTTTTATTTTTTTTAAACATATTTAAATAATTATAATAGACATTTTATATTGGTTTACATTTTTCAAAGCTTGCTACAACACGTGTGGAATAATTTGTAAAATAAAAGTCTTGCAATTATGGCCCAATTATGCTTCCACTGAGAATCTAAAAATATTTCCTTTGAATTCCCTTTGGTACATTAAGTTTCTAAGAGTTTTTTTTTTAATGTATACATGGTAATAGCAAAGAAATCAAGTAAAAATGGTACTGAATGTCAATAAGCAGTATCATTCTACTGCGTTGCATTTAAAAAAATACAAAAACAAGTGATAACCTACTTTATTTGATTCACATAGAGATGGCATTTAATATAGGACTAGAAGCTTTTATTGTGAGTTACATCTGAGACTGTTTTTATTTTTAGTTGATATATATATTCAGAGAGTTTGCAGTCCCACAAGTTATCTGTGGGATTTAAATCTTATGTTTGCTGTTTTGTCACCGCCTGAATTTCCTCCTCCTCAGATTACTCCCTCACTTGTCTAGCAGTCTGGTTTCTTGCTTTGTCTTTCTGGAAAGTCCAGTCAGTGTTTGTGGTTTTTCTCCTTTAAGTGAACAGGAGAGATAGAGCTCTTCAAACACCTCAAAAACAGTTGACATCTGAGCAATTCTTTATGACTGCCAGTGTAGAATTGCGCTCTTTTAAGGCCTTGCAAACAATCATAGCCGACTAACACTCTCATAGAGGACAACAGAGATGGATTTGATGGGAATGCCTTGATTCCCAGACAAGATTCATTATCCATAGGATGCAAAACCTCGACTGGTGCTGAGAACGTACACATATGTACTGCGTACTACTCCTGTAGTAACTGGGTCTTACGCCTAGCGAAATGTTTGTATTATTATTTATTTATTTATTTAACTATGAGTAAAGAAACATGTATATGCAGGGAATGTAAACAATTCGGCACAGAGCATTGAGTGCTGAAACGCCATGACTGATAACACTAAAACAGTTAGCTACTGATATATTCGGAGAGTTATTTTTCTTTTTTTTTTTTCTTTTTCCTTTTTTGCGTCAGGGGTTCATACAGTGGAGCATCCTAACACAATAGCACTAACTTATATTCCAATGAAAGACTTTTTTATCATTATTGTAGCGTTGTAAGATACTCTAACGTTCGTGGAACGTGGAGGAAAAGTAAGATATTTGATGGAGAAAACATCATGAATGTATTGTATGTAAAAGAAAGAATGGTATGTTATTCTGTAAGGACTGTCTCTGGAACCACCAGTATTTATATGCTGTACCTTAATGCCATTTAGGCCTTTCAAATAAAATGTGTTGCCTTGCGTTCATTGCTTCTGAATATCATGGTGGTTCTTTAATGGTATCATATATATATAATATTTCATGTTTTCATCTGGTACATCAAAATCACTGTTCTGTCTACAGCGCCACCTGCTGGCCGAACTGTAGACATTCAGGGCGGAAGGGACGGTCTGCATATAGTTGCCCAAACAGGAGAAGCGAAAGTAAAAGCATTTAGAGAAGATATTTGATAAAAATGTTTTAAATTAGGCCTTCCACGCAAACACATTTAATCAGAAAAACACTCAACATTTAACACTGTACTAGAATTGACCGTGTTTTTTGGTTTAATTCGGTACTTTTGTTACAGGTTTGTGAAGATTGAGGTTTAATTTTTTTTATTATAAATTACATTACAATACTTTTTAAATTGCGAATAAAATGTATTTATTAGCTAGTTTCATTCATTCACTATTGGGTTGTCATTTTTCGAAGCCAGCCACAAAAATGGTGAAACGATTGTAAAATAAAAGTCCTGCAATTATGGCCCAATTAGGTTTCCTTTGAGAAGCTGAAAGCGTTCCCTTGTTATGATGTTCTAATGGTCATTTCTGGACATTTTGAAAGCAAAGAAAAGTGATGTTTCTGAGCTCATACCTTTAAAAAGTTATATTATACATTTAAAACGAATACACTTATCAAGTAGAAGTGACTGTTGATGATCATTCTACAGTGCTGTATTTTTTTAAAAACAAATAGTAACGGTAACGCGCATGACATGGCGCACATATATATGAGATTTATAATTTATTATAAGCATGAAAGCATTAAATGACAGCTGTTATTCTGGGGTAATTTGAAGCATATTCTGCTGTAAGCTGGTCTGTGGAGTAGAGGAGGGGACCCTGCTCTGCGGGCTGGCGGTTTCCGTTTTGTTGTGTGTGTTCAGTGGAATCCACTCAGCGAAGACTCGGCCAGGGACCACAGTGGATGCGGAGGGCGTTCGGTGAAAGATTAAGGACATTTTTAAAGGAAATGGTTTTTTATCGTAGCCCTAGTTTACCTTACTGTACCCTGACATAGCCTAATTTTATCAATTTATTCACCGTTTGGCCTTCTGAAGCTTAACAAATGGCTTAGCTTGCCAGCTCGCTGTGATAGGCTAACTGGCTACCTCAGCTATCAGCTGGCAGACGACGGACGGACGGACGGAAGATGCAGACTCGCTGTATCAGTCTGACAACCGATTTCTGTCTGCATAGGTTTCTACAAAGGACTCCAGCTAAATTATTTTACAGTAGCCATCTGTTTTACTCAGCAGCCAGCCTGATTATTTAGCTAGCTGTTCTTCTCGTCGAGGTCGCTAGCCAGCCCCATGGAGAGAAAGCAGGAGAAACTGTTTCGCGAGTGTTAGCTAGCTAGCTATCCTGTCTATGCTAGCTGAGCTAGCAGCCGCTTTTGCAGCTTGTTCTCGCTGTTTTTTGCAAACTGACATCAATTTGTACGTTTTCTAATACGTCGAGCAAGGCAGTTGAGATACTGGCAGAATGGCTACTGCTTCTGGCTTTTCATCCGGCGTGAGTGGTTCCAGGAATGGACCGTCGTTCTCCTCCTCAGCCTCGACCTCCTCCTCCTCCGGCATACCCGGCCAGGCACAGCCTATGGTGGTCGTGTGGGAATGGCAGGATGACCTGGGCTACTGGCGGCCTTACACCGGCCAGGTGAGCTGCTTCATCGAACAATGCCTTCAGCAGCAGCGGGGGGCCAGAGCAGGTGGGCCTTCCGCCACTAGCATCTCCCTGGGCCAGTGTGACCCCAGCCTGGCAGCCTACATCATCGACATCCCCAGCCTGAAGCAGTTTCGACAAGACACTGGTAAGCTTGGATTACAGTCAAGTGGGAGCTGTATGGTCTGAGTTGTATTATGTATTAAAATTCCCATATCATGGAAAACCCAGTTTTTTGTTTTTTTTTTTACTTTTTTGGGATAAATGGTTTAGTATGTAAACATTATTGAACTTTGAAAACATAGGCCGAACTTAGTCCCTACAGGGCATGTATGGAAACGGAGCTGCAAAAATAGCCTGTTTTGAATGAATCGTTTTTGTGATGTCACCAAAACCAGTTCATTTATAAATATCCACCTATACAGATTACTGCTGAAGTTGCAAGGAGTGTTTAGCCTGGACTGCTTTCAGAACAGTCCAATCAGAACAGATATCATTTACATATCAGTCAAGAGAAATCCTTAGAGGTTGGAAAATGATCATGTAAAAGGCAGTTACAGCTGTATTTGGAACGTACACCCACACAACTCTCATGAGTGAACTTAAGGGGAAAAGTATGGCCACGTTAAAACAGTAGTGTCAAATATAAGTTTATTTAGATAGCACTTTTTACGACAGGTGTTGTCAAAAAGCAGCTTTATGGAAAAATCCTGGTCCAAACCCCCATGAGCAAGCCAAGGACGTCACTAGCAGGGAAAAACTCCCTAAGAGCAAGAGGAAGAAACCTTGAGAGGAACCAAGATTCAAAAGGGGAACCCATCCTCCTCTGGTTGACACCAGGTTGCAAAACAATAATACAAGAGCAATTTGAACAAAGAATAAGGTTTGACCATTAGTATTAGATGCAGAGAAGGGGAAAAACAGGAGAAGCAATGGTTATGATTAACTAGTTCAAGTCTGTGCAGCAGCAGTTTCATCAGGAGGGTCAGTGGCATGCAGGTGAGGTTTGCACAGTAGTGACCAGTCCTCCAGCTGGGGGTCTACCTTCATTGAAAGTTCACTTTCATCCCAAAACTCTTTGAAACCTAAAACACATCCAACTAATAAATGACCTCTTAAAAAGTCACTCATTACTTGGAGCAGTATAATGCATCGCTATGAATGGTCAGTATCTTAAGTTAAGTTAAGATATTGACCCCCTGGAAGAAACTGACCTAAGACAGATAAAAACCAGCATCATTGTGGATCAGTGTGGTTAGTATTTGAGGCAATTTTTGCAGGAATCTCCAGGAGCTGGGTCGGTGACCACTGGGTTGAGCCCATGTCCTGGCAGTGCTTTCCGTCTTTCCATGATGGCAGTGTTGATGGAGTTCAGTCTGCAGAGCTATCAGTAGCAATTCAAGTATTCCCAAGAGCAAGACTACTGCTCTGGTGACCGGAGAACTGCACGACTTTGTGCCTGTTAGATACAATATAAAACGTCAGTTTTTTTCTTTCTTTTGCATTTGATCTGCTGATTTACAGCTGTGTTGCCGTATATCTGTGTTGGGCTGAGATGGCATGTTGGTATCGAAGTACGTCTGTATCAGGCAGATATTGCTTGGAAAGTAATGGACCACACATTGGAGAGGAAAAGAGAGAATAAATCCAATCCAGTGCTGAAACAAATCTAGCCTGAAATAGACTGAAATGTTGTGTGTTTCTTCCTTTGTGGTAGTAGAGTCTTTGAGTAGTTCGAACATGATGGCCTACTTTTAGATATTCATCTTAAGTGAAGACTTCAGTTAGAATTAGCCAAAGAACAAATGTTGGGCTGTTATCAGCTGGTACTCCAGGACTTAACATTTGGTATCAGTACTGGATTACAAAAAGCGTTATTTTTTCATCTCTAGTATGAGCTCTAAGATCAGTATGTTAATCTAAGATCAGTCATTTCCCAATAACGCATATAAGAATATGCTGGGATGTTAAGTTTCTATATATGGACACATAGCTGGTCCCAAAACGCATGACTGAATTCACACACTACTAAAATAAGCCCATTAGGAGCTAATTTGGAGGTATTGGATCAAGAACAACATTAAACTAAGCAAAACATCAGAATCTCAAGAAGATGTTTGAGAAACACTGATTTACATTGTTGACATGTCTCTCAGGTTAGCTGACTAGATGCATAATGAGCAACTAAATTGGGCAGCGCTTGAAAAGCTGCCTGCTGTTACCCACAGAAATGTGACAGCGTGCTAATACATCGCAATGAAGTGCTAAGACTGATCTTAGGTGGACAGTGACCCACCCAAAGAAATTGAAATACAGCAGGTGGCTGTTAGTTGATAGATCTGGGCTGAATGTAAAAAAAAAAAAATCCATAAAGCTTCTGAATTTTCCTTCCCATCAAAAGGGTGGGGCTGATTATTTAGTGCACCACTACTATCATGCAGTTCTCTTTGTTGTGGTAACCAGAGCACCATTTTTTTGTTTTTTTTAGGAAAACCCTTTGACACCTGCACACTCTGCAGACTGAACAGGATGGGAGAGGGGGAAAATAATACCAGGAAATAGGTTTCAGATTCTGACAGGAAAGCCAGTATATTTAGCAGATGTCATACCTAATCTCATCATTATCATCATTATATACAAAATGAAAAACATTAAGGTTAGAATCACAATGAGGGATACATCAATATGGGAATCAATACTTTTCATGTACGTTTCTCAGTGCTGATGTTAATGTATCGATAAAGTGTTGAAATTGGCACTAAATCCACCTGGATTAGCATTAGAAAAGAAATGTAATATTTATTTTTATAGGATTACAAATGCAGGAGCATGAATAAACACGGTTTAGTGTAGTGTCTCAGCCTCACCTAAACATTCTGCTCTACAATGAATATGTCATCAGATTTCAGTCTGATTAAATCGTCTGTCTGATTGCTGATTACATTTATTCAAATGATGTCAAATGATATCATTGTGCATCTGTAGTACCATGGTTTAGCACTGTGAGAATAAAAGGTTCTCAGTCCAGGTCCTGGATTACCACTGCCCTGCATCTGTTAGTATTTTCTGTGTTCTAACACATCCAGTTCCACTCAGTAAAGTCTTGCTAATTAGCTGGTGAATTGAATCTGGTGTTATAACAGGGGAAAAACTCAACTTGCAGGGCAGTAGTGCTCCAGGACTGAGTAACACTGGCTGATGCTATTTTGAGCTTTTCTGATCACCATTGGCATATTGCCATTTTATATTGACCATAACAGACAAGCAGTATGAAATGTGGCTTATATATTGCATAATACCAGCTTAGCAAGGTCAGTATTGCTGCCCAGTGCATAACCAGTTTTAAACATTAATTTCTTTTTCCACAGGAAAGATTCGCTCAGTGCGCCGGAGCCTGTTCCCCCAGTCCTCAGCGCTGGGCAGCGGTGTCCTCTGGGAGTGGGCCAACGACGAGGGCACTTGGACAGCTTACGAGATCCGCACCTCCATCCTGCTGGAGCACAGCTACCAAGCAGGACAAGCCACGGCTGACCTGGGCCCACATGGGTACAACTACATTGTGGACCTCACCGCACTGGAGCAGGTCAACAAGTCCTCTGGCTTCCGCCGTCATGTTCGCAGGCAGGGCAGCGCCCCCTACCCGCTCGCCTCGGGTTCCGTCATCCACTCGGGCCCGGCTTGCACCTGCCAGCAGTGTTTGAGCCACAGCAGCACTGCCGGCCCCATGCCCAGCCGCTCCCGTCACTCCTTCTCAGCTGGCCAGGCCAGCCGACCCAGTCTCCAGGCTCAGCATGGTAGGGCAGCTGTTGCCAGCCCATCTTCTGTGTACTCACCCTATCCCAGGAGGCCTTTATCCATGGGGAACATGTCATGGGGAGGCCCCTGGAGCCCAGCTGCTACATCCATGGCTCAGCCTCCAGGACCACCACCGTCCTTTTCAACCGCTGCAAATGGCTTGAGGTGAGACCCTGGTCAATTCAGGAACAGTTCCCAATTACTGATGGGAAACATTTTTGCTATTTGAATATCCTTTTTAAATGAGTAGTGCTTGGAGCATGCATAAAAGGTGTGTCTGATTGTTATCTGATCGTTCAGTTTTATTGTTATGACACATTGATATGACACACCAGATGTACTAAAAATCGAAAAAGCTACAACTTTGCCTGTACAAATTTGAAATTTTGCTTAATGCTGCTATTTACCTTAACGTTGAAACATGAACAGTCTCTACTTGTATTCCCTTGTTCTCTGAGGTGCTGCAACACTTGCTCAGCCCACAATTAATTTAAAAAATGACAAAATAATACTTTATTCATTTTTAGTTTCCAAACTAGACCTGTCTTGATCCAATTTAGTAAACAAATGCTCAGACTTTGGTTAACCACTCTCATCCCTATGCTGGCAGATTAACTTATTAATTAATTTGTTTGTTTTTTGATTAATCTATTTATTAAATAATTTTGATATTGAAATTGCACTTTTCTGCACAGTTTTGGATTTGCAAGAGCTGCAATTTAAGTCATAGTTTATATTATCAGCAGCATTGTCTTAGGTTTTAAGGTGGGGAGCCTTAAACCTAATAACATTGAGCTTGTGAACTGCCTGCAGAAAAGTTAGACTGATCAGAAGCAACCACATCACATGCTGTGTACGTGGCCATATAACCATTACTAAAGTACAGTGTTCAGACTTCAAGTCAAAAAAGTGGATGAAAAAATGGGACTGGATCTTTAGCTTATGTAAAATAATTTGAATTTAAATCACAGACATAATAAATATGGCATATAGAGATTTTCTCTAAATGGTTAAGCCCTAGAACCAGATTTGATTGTCTGGCTGAGGTGTGCTTGGAGCTGGAACAGAATAAAAATATGCATTGGGCAAGGACTGGATTGAAAACCCATGCTTAAGCCAGGCGACATTTTTATTCTGTTCCAGCTCTGAGCGCACTTGAACCAGCTACTCTAGTTATTTTTGTCCTGGTTTAGCTGTGCTGGGGAGCTGGAATAGATCTAAAGTATGAATTGATTTGGGGCCCACTGGCACAGAGTATTTAGTTAAGCAAAAAGCTTATTTATATTCCAGTCCTATCCTCTGCTTTGATGCTGGTCTTGAAGCCAAGTTTCCACATTTTGTTGTGTCAGATCACTTGGATTTGACTCGGCAGGCCAAATTTACACTCTTACACTTGATTGATATTTGATGTGCTGAATTCCCCTTGTTCCACTTCTTGCTTTTAATGGGCCTTTCAAAAGATAGGAGCCCAGCTGCTACGTCCATGGATTTTTATTTTATAACGCCATTGTGGAAGTTCCCTGTGGAGAGCAGTTTAAAAACACATGATGAGGAAACTAGGCTTTTGTGACTTACGTGTCAAAGCTTTTTGGTTTTCTTGCATCCTGTCTGATTCATTTACCCTTGTTATATTCCAGTGAAATGGGTGAGAGTTGTAACTGAATGGCCTGAGTCATTTGTGAGAGAGGAAAATTACACTGTCCTTTGCACCAGAGTAATCTCAATTATCAATTAAATGAAAGTGAAATGAACTAACATGCATGTTATTATGGAGAACAGATAGGAAATCCCCAGTTCTGAGAACATAATCTAGTCCTGTATACATTATGTGCTGTAACAGGAGTAAATCAGTGTAACTGGTGCTTTTCCGCTTTCACAGTTATCCACTTCACTCTCTGCCAGACCATGTGGTGTGTGTTTTAGAGTTGAGGATTTCCAACCAGTTCCTGCCAGTAACTGAGATGGAAAATAGAGGCCTGGTTTAGGAAGTGTGGAGGAAAGCAAGGTTGTGGCCATTGGGGGGGGTGGAAAAGGAAGCTCCTGATTTATGCAGCCATTGTTTGTCTTCCTTGTAGCAGGTTAAGCAGACAACTGGGAAGAACCTGTTTTTAGAGCCAGTTATTTCAGACCACTGTAATGTCATCACTCAGCATAGAGGAAGTCCCCCTTGCCCTTCTCCTTTAGAGACAAATAAGCTGAAAGCACCAAGCTTTTTAAAAACAATAAACATTGCACAGTCACATGAAATAGTTTGGTGAAAAATCAAGTTTGTTTTCCACTTAGCCCAGATGTAGTCGTTCAGCTTAGATGTCTCTGATGTCTGAAATTTTCTTGCTTAGTTTTGTGCTGGAGCTCTAAGGACAACAGTACATTGCATAGCTAAAAATAGAAGCCAGAAGCCTGAATTTATCCATAGCTTTGTCCCGTTTTATAGATAACAGCATATTATACAGTGACAGAAACCACATAAGCAACTCTGAGATTACTTTGTGGTAGGCCTGCACCAGTAACAGAGTCCTCTTATTCAGGTAACCATGTGGAAAGTACCATGGTGGAAAGTATGTTGTAGTATATTCTCATTTTTAAAGGTGAATTCCACTGAATTGTGAAAAGTTCTCTATAATTAAACCGCTAAGATGTAAACAGAGTCATTCAGAGTGGTTTGATGTGAAAAACTGTTCTAGAAAAACTTACAGGGTCAGAATTGCTCACAGTGGTAGTGATAGTAATCAGACATCTGAAATGTTTAATGCCTCTAAAATGTTTCAAACGGTTATGAATGCATTTCCAGATGCTTGTAACATAGTTTGGAGAAGTTATTGGGCCTTAATCATATGCATTTTTTTTATCAATGTTACATATAAAAATCAGAAGATGCGTAAAATAAAATGACTATATCTGTGTTGTAGACATTGTGACACTTGGTTCCCGTCACCACCACTATAAAGAAGTCAGAATCACTAAGTTTCTCTGCAATGAACTATTTTACATCAAACCACTTTGTTTCACACAAACCACTTTGTTTGCATCTCGGCCACTGAATTATGCAGACTTTTAAAAAATCACTGGAATTCCCCTTTAATTTGGCCAAACTGTAATTATTCTAGTAATAAAGAGCAGATTTGCGAATTTTACACAAGCTTTTTGAAATGATGCTGTTTGAAATGATGCATTTTGCCTGATGTATGAGTGCAGAGACATGATTTTATGTGTAGCAGCACAGAGTGCGATCAACCAGCGTAGCTCAATATCATCTGTGTTGGGCACAATAAATCTGATATTAATGTGGGATATTACATTACCAAACATGTTTAAAGGTTCAGTTACGTTCACATGTTGGAATACTAGTGTCTTGCTATGGTATGGTGTCTTGCTAAAATAAATAAAGAAAAATAGCAGGTTTTTAAACCGCTGGTAAATGAGTTTTTACCGTCACTGGGGCCTATTACTGTGATAACTCACAGTAATTACTGTTAATTACAGGCCTATTATGTAGTCTGTATGCTGCTAATTGGTAGGATGTAAGCTTCTACTACTTATGCTGCATTAGCCTCGTAGCTCCAGTGCAAAACAAATGTGGAAGAATTCAAACTCTAAACACATCTAGGCTTATTGACTACGTTTGGGCTAAGGGGGAAATTGCATAAATTAGATTTTTTGCCCAACAGCTTCTTTAAAAAGACTTGTCACAGATGATGAGTGTCTGCTCTTGTTATAATAGATCTGAAAGATGAGACTGAAATGGCATCAAACAACATGCTCTTAGAAGAAATTCCAAATATATGAATTGTATGAATTTTTGCTACTATGAATTTAAGACTGGCATACATTGACCTGTGATTTTCTCACAGCATTCCTGCTATTCCGTTACAGTTGAACGGCTCCAGCAGTGTGAGCACAGCCCTGGCAGGTACTATACACCCACCTCTACAAAACAGCTTTTCCATGTATGCCTTTGATTTTAGCTCCTCTGCCCCAAATGTACTTTGACATGTCACATACAAAAACGTGTATAAACTCTTGCAATTGAAAGGTTTTCTTGTGGGTGTCAGTCAGTCAGTGAACCAGGCAAAAGATTTCCCGTGACAAGTAGATTGTTCATTGTACTAGACTTCACATATTCACATATTTTGACAGAGAAAAGTCAAACGAGTTCCCTTCGTCTTAAAGTAGTACTTCTGCATAACACAAGCACAGGTTGTCAACCCATATCTTATAGTCCATACGTGATCTATAGCTTGTGGTTCCAGATAACACTGATGACACAGTAAGACAGTAGCGAGGGTGTCATCATCATTTCAGCATTTTAAAGGTGCACGGTCACCAGCTGTGTACGTTGGCCAACTGTGATTTCACTGCCAGGTTGTTACTGAAGTCGGCTGTCTAGACGTAGCACTGGAGCCCATGGGATGTTGGGATATCTGCAGTTCATCTAACAGACAGCTGCAGATTTACCAGGAAGGAAGGAGCGACAGATTGAGGACAATGAGCCATTCACAGCCCTCTGTGGCAAACCAGGAGGAAGCCCTAGACTCCTCAGCTGAACATCACAACTCTCTAAGCGCAGTCAGACGCTTACTTCTTATCGGTGGCGGTGGAGTCCACATTGGTGCTTTAACAAATTAGGCCATTTTTACACCACAAGCAACACAGCAAATGGAGCAAGCCTAAACAACTCTGCAAAAGACTTGCACGAATTGTGTCGCTGAAGTGAAGAGCGTTTTCTGTCCACATTTGTTTATAGTATTTTGTTTATAGCTGGAAACACAAGTAGTTTACACGTTACTGCCGGTGTAAAAGGCTACACTGATTAATATGGGGGAGCATTGCGCTTGGTATGGCACGTTAAGTGGCACTGTTACCACAATTGGTGAAAAACTTTAATCGACAAAGCTGATGACATAGGTTAGAAAAAAAAACTATTTATAATTTTATTTATTATTTATTTTAAAAATGTATTTTCATTTACTTTAAAAAAGAAAAACATTCTATAATATTCTCTAATGTTGACATGATAGATGATGTTATGAGGGGTACTCTACAATAAGTGCAGGTGGCAATATGGCTTCTGTTGTTTTGTTGCACCATAAAAAGAGAACTCTGCTGTTGCATAGACAGAACTTTGTATGATAGTGGCAACAAAGGGAGAAGAACAGAAGAATGCAATACTCAGAATGTATGGAGTGCCAAAATGTTGGAGTTTTTCACCTGCAAAAGTAGTAGTACAGTGCAGCATAATCCAAAGTGGAACTGGCATTCCGTAGTGGCCCTAGAATTTTTTTCTGCTCCTGCTGATGGTGAGCATGGGGCTAACATCATTTGTTAAAGCCCCAGGGAACCATAATTTCTTTCTGGATAGGTTAATCTTGCTCATGTGGTCACACAGTATACATTTGTAAAGGATTTGCCTTGAATTACATTCCAATACAAACTAAAAGGTCAATTTTGCATTCTCCTCTCTTGTTGTAAACTGGGCAGGGCTAATCTTGAGTTGTGCGTACATAAGTATGCGCAAGGCAGAAAAGCGTTGTCCCACCAACACATCTTTCACTGCTCTTCTGTGGTCTCTTTCTCTCTGTTCAAGTCGGAGAGGCTTGCCATAAGACAGCTAACAACACACAAAAGTTAACCTAGCAAGCATAACTGAGCTAGCAAGCGCGTCCATTCATCTCTTTGTCTGGTCATCTGAACATGCCGGCATTCTTTGGATGCACATTCAGCAGTAAAGTGAATAAGAAACTTACCTAAGACTTAAGACTTCGCTGTGTAAAAGCCAGATAACGTTTTTATTGAGCTGCGGTCACAACAGGGTGAAGAGCACCACCCTGTAAGCCCATTCAATCATTTCTCCCCATTTCTCTTCACTTCACCTGTGCTGTTATGTTTTAGTTTTGCTTCAGTGGTGTAGCAGGCTGGTAGCCATGGACTGAGGCATGTCAGTCATGCACACTCATCAGAATATGAGGCCATGTCCAGGTAGTTCTCAGACAAACAAATTTTAAGCAATGTTTTATTGTATTTAAATTTTTTTTGTATGTTTGTATACAGTTTCATTCGAAACTGGATGTTTATTATAACATAATTTTAGTATCATACAAACATTTGTAATAATGTACACTGTGCTCCCTGGGACTTTAAAAGTTATTGTGATCTTGACCTTTGCCCTACTGATACTAAAGAAGGCTCCAATATGAAGATGAGTCATGTAACCAGTCACAAAAGTGTGCTGTGAGCATCCTTACCAATTGCAGATGTACCAGCTGTTTATTCTGTGGGATGAAGGATTGTGTTTATATGAAGTGCAAAATAATGCAGGCCCATTTTTACTAATGACAAGGGTTCACAAATGTGCTTTTAATATAGAACAGCTGCAGTATGAGGTAATAAAACTGTACACCATTTTGTTCATTGCTTTTAGCAGTAGTGGAAAAATGCTTTTAACTAGCAACTAGCCTAACTGATTAGCATAGCTGCTTAATCAAAATATAGTCATTAGGTTAACTGATTGTAGAAATAATCATTATTGGCAGCTCTAGACAGCATCTGTTGTAAAAAGTGCTGTCCAAATATAATTAAATTAAATTGACTAGCCTGCAGTGACCCACACCACCGCCTCCAACTCGTGCCTTCATCAGAGCATGCCCCCCCCACTTGTGGTTGGCACTTTTTGGCTCATCACTCTTCCTCTCCTCCACTCCTCCTCTTCCTCCCCTTCCTCTTCCCTCCCTCCCTCCCCGCATGTCGTCTGCCTGGGCCTCGGGGCTGGCTGTCCAGGCATGGCTTCCATTTTGATGTCAGCAGCAGGACTGGGAGTTCGCTTCATGACTGCCCCCTCCTCTCCCCAGCGCACCTCCGGCAGGCCCAGCAAAGCCCAGGCCAGCTCCGTTAGGAGGGCAAAGAGACAGCCCAGGACAGGTAGCTAAAGCCGCGCCAAAACCCGACCCAAACCCAAAACCCCCACGCCAACTGTCCCTGCTGCCCTCCCTTCTCCCTCTCTCCTTAAACAATTCTGCTGCTTGCTCTTAATGCTGCTTTCGTTTTGCATCATTGAGACTTCTTTTGGTTGCAGGATTCGTGCAATTTACAGAGAATTGCTGTTTCTACTAGTACCACTGTAGTGCCTTTCCAAATCCCTTTCTGTGTGCTTGGTCTTGGGTTTTCGTGTGTTGAATTGTTGGCTTGTACCACCATGGTCACTACGCTTTCATGCTTGCATCATAACTATCACTCCATTTCTTGCTTGCATCATTGTGGTTGCTTGTCTGTTTGTACCCACCACATGTGGTCCACTTGTATGTGTTCCTTGTATGTGAGGTGTTTTCTAATCTGTTGAACTAAACTTGTCATATGTCAGTGTCATTCTACACCACCTGATGCATTGCTTGGCCACTTAAACTGAGTCCTTTAGCGAAGAAGCAGAGCTGATGAGGTTCAGACAAGACTGACACTTACAAGCAAGCCTAACCTGCTACTTTTAATATAAGCTAACCAAATAACCTGTCAAACATATTTCAGTGTCAACACAGTTACTGCAGTGGCTGCTGACAGTGCTCGATCATGTCCCCAGAAATAGTATTGACGGTAGTGAAACCGATTAGGGCCCTAGGGGACCTCAATCGGAGCTTATTATGTATCAAGTCCTCACTATAGCTTGACTAATACTCTGGGAAAGTGATACCAGACGATTGTCAGCGGTAATCACATTTTCTTTGGAGCCAGTTGTGCATGCAGAAACCAGAGCTGGTGTAATTAAAAACTCAGCAACAATTGGCAACAAGCGGGCAAAGCACTTTCCCAGAGTACGGCTTGCTGAGCTGCTTACTGTCTCCACTAATTTTGCCTCGTCAGTGGCATAGCCCTGTTTACTATGCAGAAAACACGTGCTCTTCATGCACAGTACGTTTTTTCAGATAGTTTCTTCTGTAGTCCTGTTTTGTATTAATATATCAATTTAAAGATGACTCTAAATGTAAAAATTAAGAGACTTGGATAGAGATGATGCATTGGCCCAGTGTTGGGGAATGCTTTGGTTTTTGTAGAGGCCACAAAATGTGGGTAAAGTGTTTTCGTTGTCTGTCCTCAGCCACTGTGCAGAAACCTGAGGAGGTCATTAAGAAATACATGGAGGAAGTGCCTGTTGTCCCTGATGAGGTATGAGTTACAGCCCCCATCTGACTAAACAATGTTTTATTTCCACCCACTGTTTTAAACACATGGTTAACTATTAATGTAAATGCTTTAAATGTCCTTACAAGTTATGTCTGATGTTTGACTAATGCTAGCAAGATTATTTTGAGTTTGTTTACAAGAGTTAAAATGCAAGTCCTGTTTTATTTATTTCTTGTCAAATCCTATCTGTTTACTTTCTCTTGGAGAGTCATGTTGCGTTACTTTGTTTTTCTAAACATCATCTTACTTTAAAGAGCTCGTATTGGGAAAATAAATCTGACTGTAATTTCAGGACTGCATCATCTGTATGGAGCGCCTGACGTGTCCCTCTGGCTACGACAGTCCAGCAGAGGGCAGCCAGTCCCTGCAGCCCAACACAGTGGGCAAGTTCACCAAGTGCGGACACACTTTACACATGCTCTGCATGCTGGCCATGTACAACAACGGCAACAAGGTACGGGGTGGTACTGTCAGTGCAAAACTGTTGGTATCTATCCTTGTGCAAGTTTTTTTTGCAATGTTAGCATGACCCAAATCTAAATGTACTACAGTGCCACTTAAAGAAGAACAACTTGCGAAGATATAATGTTCTCCATGAATGTACAGTAGAGCATACCATTTTTTCTTTATGGGATGTATAATTTTAGAAGTAAAGCTTTTTAAATGACAAAGCACATATGACAAAGTACTGTACTAAGGTTTTCTTTTCTCTGTTTCTTGTTTTTCTTCTGAATTTGTATTCCTGCTGCAACTCAGTTACCATTTTTACTATGTCGAACTACTGTATAAATCCACATGTCAACTCTTCCATATCTTTTATATCAAAGGATGGCAGCCTGCAGTGTCCCTCTTGCAAGACAATCTATGGAGAAAAGACTGGAACGCAACCAAAGGGCAAGATGGAAATCTACAGTATCCCCCAATCCCTTCCTGGCCACCCAGACTGTGGTACCATACAGATCATCTATAGTATCCCACCTGGAATACAGGTTTGAAGTTTATCTCGTACCATTACCATACTGCACTGCCCTACACATTCTCATCCAATCTTGTATGCTGCTGCCAACTGTTTAGGTTTTCTGCAGTTTTACTGTACACATAGTCCTGAAATGGAAATGATACAGTACTGACCGAAACATTTCTTAACTAATTTATTTATTTTTTGCTTCAATGAACTGTGAGCGTGTCACATACATCTATCAGTGCATTTTCTGATCGTGTCTGCAAAAATATGTGGGAGTCCATAGATCAAAGCCTGCAGGTATGAGCCCTTCAAAGAAGCAAATGTTTAATCATGTTTGGGTTTCTCCGTTCTCTTCCCAGGGTCCTGAGCACCCAAACCCTGGCCAACCATACACCTGTCGAGGCTTCCCTCGCTTTGGCTTTCTTCCTGATAACGACAAGGGCAGAAAGGTATGAGCTGGAGGACAGAAACGCTGCCATTCCTTACTCTAATAACTGAGAAAAAAAGATGAGGATATTTAAATCATTGATGAGAGCAGTGTAATAAAAAAATAAGTTTTTCTCTGTTCATGTCCAATCACCTGAGGGGTGTGTAGAAGGCTATATCTTCCAGTCAAATCAAGACTCCCCTCTGAGGCCTACTGAGTTAATTAGCTAATCTGTTTCTTTATTTAGGAAATGGCATATGGAATTACAATGATTACAGCGGTGCAAGTACCAGAATCGCCTTTGACAAATGATGTAACACTAAAACTAAATCAAAACTAAGCTCTCTATCTCGGTAGGACTGGTACTACAGTAGGAAAACATTCTAAAACCAGAGGGTAGTCATTTTGGACCATTTCTACTGGCCCATTTGTTATGAAATGTTCACACACTGTAAAGGGCAGCTGTAAATATCAAAATAATGAACTTACAAGGCTTTATGACAGCGATGATATGCTGCTGCTGTTTGTGCTTTGCTTCAGTTAATGCTTCTGGCTTGCAAGTGGGCACTGAACGTTTCCATGGTAACCATCCACAGGTGCTGGAGCTGCTAAAGGTAGCGTGGACGCGGCGGCTGATCTTCACCGTAGGCACGTCCAGCACCACGGGGGAGCCGGACACCGTGGTGTGGAACGAGATCCACCACAAGACGGAGATGATGTCCAACGTTTCGGGCCATGGGTACCCTGACCCCAACTACCTGGACAATGTGCTCTCTGAGCTGGCCGCACAAGGCGTGACCGAGGACTGCCTTAAGCGAGACGTGGCGAGCCAGGCGCCTCAAAGCTCAGCCATGTGAGCCGGCACAGCCAGCTGCGACCACGAAAACTACGCAATCATTAACCAGACTTGACATTATAGTTAGGTGTAGTAAGATTTTGAGCATGTGGAAATATTTGGTGCTAGGATTAAGTGAGCATTGAAAATGAAGTCCTCTCCAAAAAAAAACTCTGTTTGTTGCACTGTTTCGAAGTCCGTGTGGTGTGGAGTGAAGGTTTTGTTTGGTTGGACAGCATAGCGTGTCACCTTGAGTCTGAAAGGGCTTAGTAGAAGTCTTTAAATCTGGACCTTGAATCCAGTTTTGGGTCTTGGATTTTGTAATTGCTGATAGGTGAGACAGTAAGTGGCCAATCAGTCATATCGACAGTTCTGTTAACTACCAGTGATTACAAAATCCAGGACTGGAACCTGGTTTCAGGGTCTGGATTCGAATACTTCTGCTCTGAAGAAACAGGTTTTCACAATGGATCTCTTTCATCAGTTGATCTGGTCTGCCCACAAGTGCATTCTTTTGTAGCAACTGTTGAGAGCTTAGAACATTGTCTTTGAACCCTGTTTGTCCTAATGAGAAATTGTAGTAGACAGCTGAGGTTTTTGCAAAGTAATTACATTTATAGTTGATTAGTTTAAAATATTTTGTATGCGTATGTTAGGAATACACTGCTAGGATAGATCAGATGTAGTTTAATGTAGTCATGTAATCGAGCTTGTTTCTAATCTGCCTGTTTTCGGTTAGCTACGTCAAAATAGTTCAGTTCAGTAACGTAGCATTTGACTGGAAACAATATGTGGCAACTCTAAACAAAGATCACTACAGTTTCTCATTAGGTTAAACAGAATTTTACCGACATTCTATAAAGGGTCTCCAACCTCACAGCGGTTCCTGCTAAAGAGCACATTTGTGAGCAGAGCCTAGATACGTCAGTTGCTCTCCCTTTATTCTGGTGACACAAACCTTTCTAGCTGTTCAAAATCTTAACTAAGTCTTACTTGGTACATCTCTTAAGGGTGAAAAAGGGACTTGCTCCTAATGTGGTATACAGTACAAAGTTATAGTCTTTGTGAATGTGTGTGAGTGTGGGTGATGTGCTGAATGGGGGGTTGAACTCCATCCAACGTCCATGTTTTCCACCAGCTCTGGAACTTTTGGGAAAGGAAATGTTGCATTCCTCGTATTATTTGCTGTTGTGAGAGGCAGCTATGGTTTGGGCTTCGACCATGCAATTTTCGGTAGCACTTTAGCATTTGCGGTCCTAGTTAATCAGAAAAGGATTTTCAGGTCGTGTTTAGCTGCAGAAACGGGACAGCTGGTTGTCATAACCAAGTATTTGGTCAGTGAAGTTGCCTCTAGAGTGGGCCTCTCTCCCATCCAGGCATGGCATGCATTTTTAATACACAATTTACCGTACATTCTGAAACTACTGCTTCCAATCTGAGTTAATGATCTCTCTGCAATGGATCTTTCTAAGGTGGCTCCAGCCTCCAGTACCAGGATTGATGATTCTTTTTAGAAGCCACTTGGCATCACATTAAAAAAAAGGACAAAGAAAATACAGTATACTCTGTAATTATTGCACATCAATGCAAATAGTTTTTACTAGTACCATACAAATTGTATTACAAATTAAAGGCACTGTTAAAAATTGCAGCTATTTTAATTTATAATTTCTAGTCCTTTTTACAGTTTATGATTTCTTAAGTGTTTTTTTTCAGGTCTGGTCTTCATCACTTGCTGCTATTAAGTAGTATAATTGAAAGCACAAGAGAATGTTTTATTTTGTCATGTCACTTCTAATATGTGAAATTTTATATTAAGCAACTAGTAGCTTTTTTTGGGGGGTGTTTTGTTTTGATCCTGGCGTAAATTACTTATAAACATACAAATACTCGATTGCTCATTGGGACAGGACAACATCTAATGCCAACACTATACATAGCATTCTATTTGAGCTGTACTGGAAAATTTTAGACTCTGAAAATGCCGTAACGTTGCTGTTCAAGAAGGTGCCACGGTGACAATCAGCCTTGCTGGAGAGCCACAGCACATGCAGCAGCGCTCGCCTTGCCTTTCGATTCATCCTTCATTCTGTCCATCTGTGACGTTTGGTTGGGTAATCAAATGTATGCAACCGTATATATAAATATATATAACATATCAGCAATAAACATTAAGTCCTGCAATATAATCTTATCTGTTTCTGCTACAGCTATGCAATGCATGCCTCCCAGCTGCCTACCTAATGAAGATTAACTGTGTTCTCTTGGAGGATTTTAAAGGTCTGGATCAGAAAAGGCCCATTTGGTGCTTTTATAGCTGCCCTGGACTCCAGCAATAAAGAAAGTTGATCAGAGCTGCTCTGGCAAATGGGAAGAAATAATGGTTTGAGTGGTAAGTTGGCACACATACAGTTCTGAATCCCTGTGCGAAAGAAAGGGTGACAAATTTTTAAAATACTACCGTTCAAAGATTGTAAAGTGACTGAGAAAGCTTCACAGCATCAAAAATGAAGTTCGAATAACATGAATATCCAGAATTCATCATATTTCAAAAGTGGAGATCAGATCTCAAGGCTGATAGCTTAACAAAAAAAAAAGGAAATGGATAATTACAGTATAATTATCACTTAGTAAGTTCTCTTTCACAGAATTCCTGAAATATTGAATAAAACATAAAACTAAAAATAGCTTTTATTGAATAGTTTGTAATATTCACATTCACTCTTAAAGATGCTACAGGAGAACCAACAAGAGATGTTTGGCATGTGAAGAACCTTTTTAAACCTTCACGTTATATGCACACTTCAAAAAGGGCTCTTTGTGCAGGGCCCTTGAACAACCACTTTTGGTTCCCCAAAGAACCTTGAAGTGGATGCTTCATTAGAGAACGTTTTTTTGTTTTTAAATGTGAAGAACCTGTTCAAAGATTAAAGGACATTCATATAATATAAAGGTTTAAGGGGTGAAAAGTGTTTTTAGAAAAGAACCTTTACTAATGTGAAGGTTCTTTAAAGCCTTTCAAATTTCAAACATGATTCTTTAATAGTTCTTCTATCGCATCACTAAAAGAAGCATTTATCTCACTCATTTTTAAGATGTGGAGGTTCTTAAGATATTAAAGCTCATTTACAAAAATATTTCTCCACAGAACCAAAAACTGGAAGTTTTTTTGGGCAACCAAAAGTGGTTCTTCTGTGGCATTGCACAAAGTTTGACTGCTATAAAAGTTATCTTTGACTATGAAAGAACACAGATTTTAAATATGGCAAGTTATTTCAGCTTCTCTTGGGTTACCATCCACACCAACGCTCTTAAGTTGCTTGATTCCAATTCAGTAAAAAAAGCCATGTTATCTTCTAATTCCAGCTAATGCCTTTCAATTTCCTCCAAATTCATCGGCAGTAACCCCTGAAAGAAACAATAACAAGACCATTAAGCACTGTTGCTGTTCAAGGCATGCTCATTTATGTCTGTAATATAGAGTAGAGAGGAGGTGATACGTCAAACACTGTTTAAGACACCAGAGCATTATAAGGTTGTAGCATCTTCTAGCATGTGTTCAATGTTTGTGTCTTTGCAGAGCGTGCCTACCTACTCTGATCTCCTGCTGAGCGCTCTAAAGGTGGTGTTTTTATAGTCTGCTTCAAAACAGGCACTCAGTCTCTGCTGTGTTTAGAAGGGAAGAGCTTCATCATCAAGATTGAGGTGTTTTCTCCATCAGTTCAGTGGTTCTCAACTCAAGGCTTATGAAAGCACTGCCCCAGCACACCTAGTTCCGCTCATGAAGGGCTTCATCATTTGTTGATGAGTTGGATCAGGATTTTACAACCGCTTTTCCCTGACCAGTCTATTGGGACCACATTTTTAGTTTCTCCCAACTTTCTACCACACGTCGGGCAAGCGATCAAGAACTAAATATCTGCTTTAGATGCTGAGATAGAACAAATATGTGGAGTGTCTAGGGACCAGGTTGGGAATGCTGCTCCAGAGCTTCACTCTTGGGCAGTGGTCCTCAATCACAGACCTGCGGAACTTACATTCCATTTGTTTGTGTGTGTTTTCTTTTTTCTAGCACACCTGATTTAATTCATTAACAAATTAACCAGTCCCCTTACTCCCTTGGCCTGCCTACTCCACCTCAGTCTTGCCATGTTGAGGGCTATGCCAAAGTAATTATTTTGGAGTAAGAATAGTTTCTTACGAAACAGCAACAGCTATTCCTTGTAAAGGGTGCAGTAACTGTATTTAGTATTGAGTGATTATTAGGAGCAGGGGCTGTGTCTGACTTCAGTTGGAACATCTTACCTTGCAGAGTTTTTTAGTCTCCCTCTTTCAGGTGAGGATAAAATCACCACATGCTAGTACGTGACCACAATCAACCAACCTTTTCACTCAGAAATACATACACCCTCATTTTTCAATGTAGCTGAACATTTATAATATTAAAGGGTTTGATAAAGAAATTAAAATGAAATTTAATCAGGCCAACCTAAAATGAACAAAACTACATAAATAACAGAAAAAACAGACAAGATAAATGGTAAAAGAATTAAGAGCACAATTAAGATTTTAATAAGAAGGAGAAATATACAATAAAACCAGAATAATAAACCAATTAATAAGATTTCAACATATAAGGATAAATAGGCAAACTAAAACAGTCAGGTAAAAGGATTATAAGAGATAATAAAAAATAAAAACAGTAATAGAATTGAGATAAAAGGAAATAAAATTGTTGGAAAGAAAAAAGTAAATAAAGTAATAAAATAATGAAATGAAAAGGAGAAATGAAAAGGTAAACTCAACTAAAAGTTCAGTTAAAATGATTGAGTGACACCAGCAAGCCAGGTTTTAGAGACTCTTGTAGTAAATTTCAGCTCACTGGTGCACTGTAGCTAAAATTTTCCTAGTTCAGAAAAAGCTCTAGGTGCCTGACAAGTGATCCAGTCACTAGAGCAGGTCTGATAAATACTGTTATTCAAAGATTGTAGAACAGATGTTAGCTGACATATGGCCAGCGATTGGTTTATAAATAAAAAATAAGCCAGTGTGTTTCCTGTGATGCTAGTGAGGACCAACCAACTTTATCGTACAGTCCAGTCTGCAGTGGTGACTGTTGTAAGGGTCGCCAGTAATGAATCTCAGAGTGCAGTGATACCC